GGAATTTCCAGGTAGAAGTGTGACATTTTATGTTTTCTGTCATGTATTGAGTGGAAGACTTTGCCAGAAGTGGGTGTGTAAATCAGTAAGAGACTGAGCGGGCTTGAAGGGATCTTCTTAAGGATAAGAATCATTTATTTTTTAAGCTGTTTAGAGGTTGTCAGTTTGTTTTCTCTTTGATTCTTAAAGGAGTTCAGATGGATAAGAGTAGCAAGTAGTTGAATTCTGGCAAGATGAATTATTTTTTAAAAATTTGTAATTATGAATTCTAATAGCACAGAATGACCATTCTTATATTTCCTTTCCTGTACATCTATTAACAGGGAAGAACAAACTTCTAATCTGTGCATGTTAGAACATTTTTTTGAGAAAGTTAAGGTAGTTCATTATTGAGAATTCATTAATAAGAAAAATAATAGACAAAAATGTAATTGGGTTTTTCATAGAAATTCCTTAAAATCCAGAGTAATACTTATATGTGCACATCTATAACACACTTGAATATACACATGGAAGAATAATACAACACGTATTCCACACACATATATGTGTATGGTACAGAGATAGCCGCAGTTGGGGGGCTGGGGTTGAGTTCTGGTTGTACCCCTTATAGCCCATGTGATCCTCAATAAGACATAATTTCCTAATCTGTAAAATGAAAACTAATACTTGCTCTGCAGAGCCCAAGGGCTTGTTATGAAAGTTAAATCTGATAATGTAAATGTCTTATACAGCATTACTCAAATTTTTATTGTTTGCACTAAATATTTGAGGTGCCAAATATTTCCTTACAACCGTAGACATGCTGGGCTGCAGGAAAGCTCTGGAGTGCCTGTGTGATCTGCAAGAAGAGCCTGAATGCACAGTGGTGTGGGCAGGGAACTCCAGGATTAGGAGCTTTAACTGAGCTCCAAGGTAATTAAGCCCCTGTGCCAGGCTCCGAGAAGGGTGTTATCCGAGGTCAGCAGCAGCATTACAAGTGCTAGCTTTGGCCTATTTTGAAGCTAAAGAACAGCAGAAGAGTAAGTAGATTAAACAAAAATATAACCCTCAATCCTGTGTTTTTTGACTTCCTAAAATGACTTTTGAAGCCCTTGGTGTCTGAATTTGGATCCCACTTTCAGCATAGCCACACAGAGGAGAGTGGTCTTCTGCCTACTTGTGATGGTGACTGGAGAGTGGTGCGTGCTGTTAAGCGTCACTGAGACCATCAGCAGCACATGGGTGCAGGCAGTCCTGGGCTGGCATGGCCTGACAGTCTGTCTGAGCTCTAAGGTTGACTTCAGATTCAAGGGGAGCCAAGTAAGGGTGCAGGTGGCCTGATCACAGATTCTCCTCCGCATAGATTCCAGGTGTTTGCTGGACACTTGTGACGTGAAAGGCACCATGCCAGAGGATATTGGGGCTAAAAACAGGGTACATGCCTTATCCAGTGCAGAGGAGTGATTAATGGGAAAAGCTGTATGTCATATTGATGCTGATGGTGATGGTGAGGATTAGAACACACACAAGGCCAGGTAGGAGGTAGCAGACAGGCACAGGAACTACAACAACAGGATATACAGGAAGATACAGGCCATTCCCTATGTCCTAGAAACTTTTTTTTTTTCTGTTACTGATCATGTGCCATAATTAGGGTTTGGGAATCATCAGGGGGAGAAATTTAGAGGAATTTGCTCTGAGCACTGAATTCTGTTTAGAACCCTAGAACTTTAAAATGGGGAAGAGACAGCAGAGAACATCTACTTCCACAATTTTATTTCATGGATTAGGAAAGTTCAAAGAGAATAAGGAATTAAGGAAATAATTAGGAATTAATTATTAATAGGAATTAAGGTCAAAGAGATAAAATGATTTGTTATAAAAGGCAGAACCAACACAGAACTTAATTTTCCTGATTTTTAATCCTGGAATTATCTATCTATCTTGCTGGGTTTGGAAAGATTTTTTATAAGGATACTTATAGGAAGCAAAATCTCTATTTTTTTTTTTTTGTTATCTGAAAAAAATGGTAGAATTTTGCTGGTAAGAGAACAATAAATCCAATTCTGGATTTCTGTTGTGGTTGTTCACATGCAAAGCTAAAAAAAATTAAAGTAAAAAATATTATGTGCTTTTAAAAAACAATTTGAAGTGAGTTCATTTTGTCCCCAATAAATTTAAAAGTTTCTAATTTTAGTCATTTACTCTTAAAATTTGAGCTATTTCATTGTTAGTTTTGCCTAATAAAATTTTGAGGTTGGGCTATATGTAGCTTACTGCATAGTGCCTATCTAGTAAGCACGAGGCTCTGGGTTCAGTTCCCAGCACTGTAAAAAAATGGAATAAAATATTGACAGTTTAAATGAAACATGCAAAGGGCTGGGGATTTAGCTCAGCGGTTAGGATGCCTGCCTTGCAAGCGCAAGGACCTGAGTTCAATCCCTGGTACCGAAAAAAAATTAAATGAAACATGTAAAAACATGAAAATAATGCAAACTGTACATGCATAATTGACATAAAACCATAGACAAGAAACATTTTAATCAATATTCAAAAGATGATCCATTGTAAATCTTAACAGATTTTAGGTTGATCTTTTTCTTTAGGTTGATCTATCAAGAGACCTGAAAAAACATTGGAAGTAACTAAGGAAATAACACAGATGAGCCAAAAGGAGTTACTTGTCACTGGACGAAGGTGAACTATCTCACTGGTGCTTAGGCCAGCCTTTCTCAGTGTGGTCTGCAGACTCCTAGCACCAGCACAGTTCATATCTTGTAAATCAGCTGATTTCTGAGTCTTTCCCTGAGTTACCAAGTCAGGCTCTGGATAACATTCTCTGGTTGTGGATGCACTGCTACGGTTTAGATCTAAGTGTTCCCCAAAGCCCTGTGTTCTTGGAGGCAGTACTTAGTTAGGAGGTACAGTATGCTCAGAAGAGGTGTAGGATCACTGCAGGTATCGCCCTTTCTGGCTCCTCCCTTCACTCTCTCTGCTTCCTGTCTGCCTTGAAGTGAGCAGCTGTCCTCTGCCAGGCCCCTGTGCCAAGCCACCCTGCCTGGGAGCCCCTGACCATGGAATGAAACATGAGTCAAAATAAACGTTTCCTCCTTGAATTTGCAGATGTCACCTATTGTGTCTTAGCAATGAAGAAATTAACCAAGACATACACACTAGGGATATTTTCAGTGGGGCATATGCTTCTACTAAACACTGCAGTTATTAGCAAGGAAGTGTTTATTCTCTAACCACCCCTGGCTTATTTTATTTTCAGAACACTTATTCCAATTTGCCATAATATCTGCACCTGCTTTTATACTGTCACATTTCCTGTCGCAGGGGCACAGAGAGCCTTGTATTCAGCACACTCCTTAGCAAGAAGAGTTCACAAAATACCTGAGTAAAGTAGGTATTCTTAAGGAAGCAGGATCATTACCAAAAGTGCCCTCCTTAAATAATAAGGGCCATATTCTGAAGCCTGCTTTGTTGACTTTTGTAAATGGGATACAGCAGAAACCCTGAAAGACCTTATTTGTATTTCATCAAGAATCTGCTTATGCTCAGAGATTCCCACAGACTGTTTCCCTTCTGCATTAATGGGTGTATATATACATACCCATATATACATGTCATAAATCATCCTATACCCTGTTGCAAATACTGATGTGCCTGGAGGTTTTTGTATTTTTGTTTCTTATTATGTCTTTTTCAAAGTATAAAAATAAACATGTCATTTCTAATGCAAAAGAAAATGTTCAGTGATGTTAAATCCAATTTATGAGAGGCCACTGCCGTAGCCTGAGTCCCTGCACCAGGCCCCAACAGTCTGAACTACAAAGGGGCCATTGGTGCTAAGGTTCCCATCACCAAACCTCAGCCGAGCTGTTCACCTGGCCTTCTGAGGGGTCAGGGTCAGAACACAGCCAAATCTCCAGAGAGGCCAGTACCCGGCCACAAGGGAGTCCTCTCTGCTTAACCCTTACTAGGAAAGCAACCTTCTAGTAACCCATTCGCTGTCTGTATTACTGTTTCTTTGTTTCTGCTCAAGCAACTTTATAAAAACAGGCTGTTCTGCTATGGCCATAGTACATGTCTATTTTTAGGTGAAACCGTTTTGATTTGTGGATGGCAAATAAAAGCCAGAGGAGGGCATTTAACTGCATGTGTTGAAATTTTGCCTTTTGACAGTATATAACAATTGGAGGAAACAGATAAAGTTGGCTGGAAGAGCCGTCTCCGTAGGAGAGATGAGAGAGACACTTGCTGGTTTTTTCCCGTGTTCTTCACCATAGTGGGTACTTCTGGCATCTACTCTCTCAGGTCCTGGGCTGGACTCTTACACACAGGTGCTAGAGGGGCCAGGCTTTGGGCTCCAGGACCGCAGCCTTTTGCCTTGGCCTTAACTAACCTCTGGCCAAGCACCTGGCCTCCAAGTCCAGCTGCATTCTACACATGTGCGTCAGAGGGAAGCTTCTCTCGCATTTCCACGGCACTGTACCAAAGCCCTGTTACTGTAACTGGAAAATAATGTGAAGGAGCAGAACTTCCTGGAAAGAGTAATATATATCTGCCAGTTTATTAGTTCAGCCCTGGATGTGGGCTGAGAAAAACAGGTACCACGTTGCCCGTTTGTTGTTCAATGTAGTTAACTTAACCCCAGCACCCACTTAGAGTGAGTAAATATAATTACAATGCAACCTTCCGATTATACCTAACAACCCAATCACCCATTCCCTGAGCAAATGTTACTGCCCCGGGATATTTCACAACCCACACCCCCATATTTCAGAAATCTGTGGGTAAGACAAGGATCTATATTAACTCTAAATGATGTTCTTTAAATAATAATTGTACCAGATTGCGCAGCCCCGGGCGCCCGGGCACAATCAGGAGACGGCCTGGGGCCCTGGGGTAGCCAACGGCGTGGGTCCACTCGACTTTGTAGGACCCCTGGCAGGATCGTGCGTTTCCCTCTGTCAAGATGCATCTCCGCTCTGAGTAAATCCCTTCTGTTCTAGAGCGGGGGCTTTGCAATCCAAAGAGAGGACACTGCGATGACGGTCGGTGCGATCATGACCTCACGTCCCACGCGTGCGCATGCGCAGAGGGCTTCGCGCCGAGCCGAGACCGGAAGTCCTGCGAAGGTAATGCGCGCGCCTCCCAGAGAGGCAAGGGAAGCGAGCTCCACCGAGGCAGGGCCAAGGGCCTTTGGGGCCGTCCGGAGGTATCCGTCGCCATCCAGCTCCCCGGAAGGCAGCCAACCTCAAGTCCAACCACTTGTCTTTCCCAGGAGAACAGTACTTTTTCCTTCCGTGTTTAAAATCCTTTATAATACTTTCGGGCCTTTTTATGACCGGAGTTCCTAGATCGGACACTCTCACAGGCCGCCGATGCTTGGAGTGGACGGCATAGATGTCTTTGTGTTTGACTTTGTGCAGCATCTCAGGATAGACGACAAGTTTTTTAGGGGAGTGATTTCATAGCTACCGTTAGATTCTGCGTCTCATCACATAAAGATCTAGGAACCTTGGGAAGCTGGCTCTCTAGGACAGGCCCAATTTAATGAAGCGGGCAGGGCATCCTTTCCCCCTAGAAGGTGAAGTGCTTTAGTGTTGACAGAAAATCTAGGGGTGGACAGCTTGGGGGGAGTCCTCGAGTTAACCTAGCATCTGCCTATTAAGGATGGACCGCTGCTTGTGTGGGGCCCGTGGGCGAAGGCAGTGACGGAGCCGCTGGGCAGTGTGCTCACACCTAGGGCGCCTGTTCAGTCATCTTGAGAAAGGTCTAGCTGGACAGGAAATGGCCAGAGCTGGTGCAGAGCTTCCAAGAGTCCCTAACTTAAATGGCACATTATCGCTTTCCAAGGGATAGACCTATAGTAATACTTTCTTATCAAAGGATAATTCTGGTATGCAAATTTGTGAGAGTACTGTGTAAACTGCGGCAGAATAGAAGTGACTTCTGCGGCCATTAAAACTTCCTTCTCTTTGTGGGAATTGGAAATACAGCCTTCCCATGGTCAGTTATAGCTTATATCAGTGTGAGGCACCCTACTCTGGACTAATAGGTGAGATCAGCGTTTATCTTCAAAAATAACCATCTGGCTATGCTGTGCTCTTGTCATTGTGCAGATGTCAACGAGTGTGCCCTTTGGAACCATGGCTGCACTCTTGGGTGTGAAAACACTCCAGGATCCTATTACTGCACATGCCCTGCGGGATTCATTCTGCTTCAGGATGGGAAACGATGTCATCGTAAGTCGCAGTCACAACTATTTCCTGTATCCGTTTTCAACAGTGTTTCTAAGATGGCTGTGATCTAGGTTGGTGGTCTGCGGTAAGAAGTACGCATCAGAATTACCTTGAAATTTTGTTTTTCGTTTGCTTTTTAAAATATGGAGGGCCGGGAATTTGGCTCAGTGATTCCGCCGCCTGAGTCACAAGCTCAATGACCCAAGTTCAATCCCCGGTATCAAAAATAAATAAATAAAAATATGGATAACTAGGCTCCAATACAGACATATTAAAAACCTCCTGCTTTGAAATACATAGTCCTCCCAAAGACTGTACACACACCTCAGAAAAAGAAAAATAATGTCTAGAAATTATTTTGAGCATCCCTTGTAATTGTAGAAGCCAAAGTTAATGTATCAATTTCATGATGTTTCAATAAACTTAGTATTAAAATATTTACACAAGTTTTTGTTTTCCTGAAGCATGTATACATTTGGGTGGAATATACAAATATATATATATTCCCCATTTCCGTGTTCACACTATGTTTCATTGTGTGTCTCTAAAGGGTAAAAAACAGTCATAATATGTTATTATATCCAAAACACTAAGTATCATTCTCTACTATCACTGAATATCCAGTTAGTTTTCAGGTATGACCACAATACTATTATTATACCTCAAAAGTTGATAATTTTTAAATCACATCAACTACCTAGCCAGTTTTCAAATTTCCCTTATTAAAACGTTTTTTAAATAGTTGATTTAAGTATTCAAGCAAACTGTCTGTGTTATGTGTTAATTTTATGCAACTTTTATTCTATAGGTTTTTCTCTCCTCTTTTTTTCCTTGGGCAAATATTTGTTGAATTAACTACTTCCCCTGTAGAGTTTCTCAACTTCTGGATTTTGCTAGTCACACCTCTGTCTTTTCTGAAAGCTTTTGGTTGGATCCACAAGCTTGATGAGATTCAGCTTTGACATTTTTTGGCAAGAACACGTCATTGACGTGCTTATACTTCTGTGGAGAGAGTGCTGGCATGTGTATTTGTCAAGTGCTGCTTGGTCAGTGTGTGCATTCATGCACAAAGCTTTCTAACAGTCATTCCCTAGATTGGTTATCTCATCGAGTGTTTCACTTGATCTTAGCCAAAAGGCTGAGAAGTGATCATCACCAAGCATTTCAAGTGGTAATAGTCTAATTCTATTTTTTAGAATTAATTATCAATTCATATGCCTCTTTAAAGAGAATGCTCTCTCATTAACTATTTACTTACTGCAAACATATTCTCACAGTGTAGGCCAGATAAATGTTGGATTCTTTCTTTATTTAGAGGGTTGCTTCCTTAACATCTTTGAGAAGTGGCAAGTGGGTGTTTTTCATTAGGTATCTTTATGATCTCAGATTTTAAACACTTGTGTGTTGTGGTTGTTATCCTCACTGATAACAAATTCTCTCCCCTTTGCCATCGGAAGCCTCTTCAAACAGGCTTCTGACCCAAGTATTTTTGATACTTTCCTCAGTACCTCGTGAGACTTTGCAGGCTCATTGTGTTCCTGTTATATTCTAGACTTGAAATCAGCAATTTTTTGAGGAGCCCTGATTCTTTTAACAAGAAATTTCATCTAGAGGATATATCCACCCTGAGTTAGGCATTGTTTCCTGGCCTCTGGGGGCATTCAGCACGAGGAATCCACTTATTAAAGAGAAAATACTCGATCACTTTATATGGCTATTCCCAGTGTACGTTCAGGGTTATGTACTCACGTACCTTCGGACAGGTATCCTGTTGACGGTACTAGCGTGGATAAGTACACCTGAATGTTTAGAATCATGTTCAGTACTTAGTCCCACTTTAAAGGTGATGGAGAGTAGGTCAGTCCAGATATCTGCTATGAAACACATCAGGCACACTGAAATGAACGAATGACTGATTCTCTCCTAATACATGTTCTCGCCTCTTGGTAAATATGACGTACAGGGTGGAGGGTGTCCGTCTGTCACGGGACCCCCGATGTGCAGAGCAAAACGTACAGTCTCACTTGATTCTCAAAACCTCTAGAACTTTTATGTCACGTGTTTTACATTTGCATCTTTGATTTCCTTGGAATTAATTTTGATGGATGGTATAGGGTAGGGATTTAATTTTTTCCTGAAATCATTATTTATTTCCATACCATTTTTGCATGATCCTTCACATGCCTACTTGTTTAAAGTAATACTTTACACGTACATTCTTATATCTGAGTTTTTTTAATTGGAGCTTTCTATTATGTTCTGTTATCTTGTCTATTCCTGTATCCATTCCCTACTCTTTTTTAATGATCACATGTTATTATCATAAAGTTGTGAGAATTTAAAATATGTCTGTCGTACATGTTAACATGTGTTAAGGACCGCTCATTCCTCTTCTTAAATCTAACCACAAACACAGAATGTTCTTAGTTTTTTTTTTTCAACAAATATGTTTTGTTTTACAGATGAATTTAATAATCATTTGCTTAAGTTCTACTGAAAATATTTTGGAATTTTGAAGACTAATAACTAAAGTTTTTATTTGAAATAAAGGAAACTCAGAAGAAACTAGAGACATTTTCAAAATCAGGTTCTTTAACGTTGTTAGATTTGAGTTTTTCTTCGCTTTTTTAATCTGTTACCATAGCTTTTTATCAATATTTGATCCTTAGTTAACCTCCTCTTTTCAAGATTTTATTAGCAGCTGATCGTGGTATATTTCCACCAACCTGACCTAATACGCATCTCAACTTTGTTCTTCACTAATCAGAATTAGTTTCCTGTCCGAGCAATACATCCAAATGCAGCCATGACTGTGTCCTGACATCCGAGGGTCCCCTGTGTTTCTGTCCCAAAGGCTCCATGCTTCAGACGGATGGAAAGACATGTAGTGGTGAGTTTATTTGCCTTTTGTTGGTTTGAAAATGTGTATTTTCTAAGTGACACCCAAAAGTCAATCTTATTGCCAAAGGAGAGAGGTTTCTAGTATTACCCATTAAAAGTTAATGTCTTCAGTAGATTAACCTACAGATGTAAGTTGGGCTTCTGTTTTAAAAAAGCTGGTGGAGTGGTTTTGAGCAAGAGCTTTCAAGTTAGCCTCGAAGTGGCCTTGCCACCCTTCCACCTGGCCTGAAGGAGGTGGCGGGTAAAGAGTGCTTGGCCTATTGCTTGTACCCCATAAATACCTACTTTGTCTTCATGGAGACTTGAGCGTATGTAAGTCTGGATGGAACTCACAATTAGCAGATGAATTTTGGGCCTTTTGATCCTTTAATTTTCAAAAAGTGAAAAGAAGGGAGGGCTTATTTTACTTTATGGGGTGAAGTGTTCCCCAAATCTAGAATCAAAATAAAGCCAATTGAGATCTTCACAAAGAAAATGAACAAAGAAGTCAAGAGGCTGTTAAATGTGAGAGAGACAAATATTTCACTCACGAGGAGGAGTCAGAACTGCCTCTGACTCATCAAAATGAATTTCTCCAGCCTCATACAAGGGTGTTTGTTCCTGAGCTCAGTGGAATGAAAAAGCTCAACATGCACGATTTTGGCTTACAGGGCAGGGGCACTGTGACGTTTTGCTCTAATCTCTGAAAAATCAACTCGATTTCATAGTAAGAATGATCCTGGTGATGGTTTTAAAATTGAACAGGTCCACCATAAAACTTTGATGGAAAATGATTACATCTCGAATGACAGGACGACCTTACCAAACATCTGCTTTTCCTAGGCTGTTCGTCACCTGACAACGGTGGCTGTAGCCAGCTCTGCATCCCACTTGGCCCCATGTCCTGGGAGTGTGGCTGCTTTCCTGGGTATGACCTACAGCTAGACCAGAAGGGCTGTGTGGCTTCAGGTCAGTGCTGTGGTTGCCTGGAATGTTTCCCTGAAAAGAAATCTCATGAAAACATGTCTCATTTATAATGATGGCATGTTGAATTGCTTCCACTTGTTGGTAGGAAGTCTGATTTTTTAATTTTCAGAAATGAGGAATAAGCCATATGAATAATATGAGTAATTATAACAGCAATAAAAACCATATTTTTGAGGAATGTTTCTAAGTTAACTGGCATCCACAAAAGATTTACTATAACATCAAATATGGCATTTTCAGTAGATGAGAAAGGCATGGCCAGAATAATCTTAAAGCTATAGTTAAAAGCCGGGTGTAGTGTTGTACGCCTGTAATCTCTGTACTTGGAAGGCTGAGGCAGGAGGGTCGCTATGAGTTTGAGGTCAGCCTAAGCTATATAGTAAGCTCAAAGCAAGCCTGAATTACATAGCAAGACCCTGTCTCAAAAAAATAAAGAAAAAAGAAAGCATAGTTAAGAGGTATTTAATAAATACATTGATTAACTTGACTTTTATCTCTTCAATGAGTGTAATACTTCAACAAGTCCTGTCCTTTTCATGTTAAAATGTAATATGAAGCTGTATGCTTCAGCTATTTTTTACCATCTCATGTTATATCTGTGTTCTTTAATAGCTTTGGAAATCTTAGATTTACACCAAATTGATTTAATCTCTCTTGAAGTTTCGTTGTGCTGAGAAACCAGGACCACATAATTACCATGCATAGCTCTCCTTAGGCCCCAATACCCCACATTTTTGAAGGCCTTGTTGGCACAGCATAATCTGGGTCCTGAGGTGACTGGGGGTTTTACTATAAACTCATGTAATCGTGCCTCCCTCTCCAAAAGCCCAGGCTCAGAGGCTGTTTATCAGACATGAGTTCAGACGTATGAACCAAGAGACCACGGCATTCAGACCTGCATCATCTGGCTTCGGTTGTGACGCTTTCATGCAGCCCTTTGTGTAATAATCTGTATTTTGAGAGCAGACACCTAGAGAGACGACTTTAATGATGAACTTCTGGCCCTGGGTCACCCATGAAAGAAATCATCTTGCCTGTCTTTGCCTACATTGAGCTGGGGACAAATGAAGAGAATCAGAACTGCGGAAATGAAGGAAAGGGGAGGTTAGAAGTGTTTCTCCGGTTCTAAGGCGAGTTCTAAACGCTGCCATCTTTGAAATTTGGTTACAGGACCACAGCCGCTTTTGCTGTTTGCCAACTCTCAGGACATCCGACGCATGCACTTTGATGGGACAGACTACGGAATCCTGCTTAGCCAGCAGATGGGAACGGTCTTTGCCCTGGATCACGACCCAGTGGAGAACAAGGTAAGGCTCTGTGGCCTGAACAGATGTGGGGATGCAGAACAGAGGGTTTCACCCCAGCAGGTGGCCTGCATGGCCTGAGCATCCTCTGCTGAGCTGAGAATGGTTAGACCCCGGATGAGGCAAACATAGGTCCCGGAGCATCGTTTGAAGCATTTCAAGGCCTCTCCTGCTTGCCTAACCCTACCCTGGTCCTTGCTGTGGTTCTTCTTATTGGGATGATTATGGAGGAGGCCTCAGTTCAGTTTTCTTGTTGGCGGTGAGAACGGGAGGCCGGCATGGTGCTGTGCGCATAGACAGAATTTCATCAGTGGGCTTTGGATAGGAAGGGGAGGAGTGACAGGCATGAGAAATGTGCGTTAGTCATTTGCTTTTAATTTATGTCATTGAGAGTGGGGACTCCGTGACCTCTTCACCATGAAAATCAGGAACTATAAGTTTTATGGTTCACTTGGGAGTGGCTGTCTTAGCCATAACATTTTCTACAGAGTAATTTTATGTGATGTTTTAAAATAAGACTTAGATTTCTGAATTACCACTGTAATCAGCTGGCCAGTTGGTGTTTCATTTCATAGTTGTATTTGTGCTAGGTGAAGGCATTAGGAAGGAATCCTTCTGTTAGGAAGGATGTTGCAGTTTCTTTGGAGATGAATCACCTGTAATATTAATTTACATAGTTATAAGTTCCCTCCTTTAATTACTTACTTACTCCAGATTATTCATTGATGTGTAGAATGTTAAACTTGGTGTTTCTGTGTTTTCCTGATTTGAAGCAGTCTGGTAAGTGGCCGAGAGAGACACAGTGAAGCAAGTTAATTGTGTTTAATAGCTATGGAATCATAGCTACACACAACTATTCTTACAAATAAAAGATTTACAGTTGGAACAGTAGCAACAGTTCTCCCTTGTCTCTGAACTCCACAGAACAATTACATTAACAGTTAGCAAGTCAAGAATCATCTACTGCTAAAACTTGGATTTTTTTCCTGTGCAGTCAGTGTTTTCCCAACCAGCAAATGGGGAGACCTAGGGTGAACGTGAGTCAGGAGGCTGTTCTGCATTTCCCTAATGCTTTCCTTCGCTGGTTGGTGCACTGTGGTCCTGGCCCAGCGGCCGCAGCACAGCCCAGAGCTGTTAGCGCTGCAGACTCCTGAGCTCACCCCAGCCTCTGCAGAATCTTAGTGAGGTCCCTCCGGTCTCACATGCACATTGGAGGTCCAGAAGTGTGGCCCTGGGGGAGAGTTTTCTGGTAAGAGAAGTACCCATGTTTGTATTTATGAAATACAGTTTTTCTCTTTGCCCAGAAAGAACCCATTATTTAATGAGCTGCCATTTTATGAATACTGTCATCATCAATTCAGGTTTATGAAGTATAATTAAAGTATACAGTGTGTGTTTAAATTTTTAAAAAATCACCACAGTAAAAGACACATTGCTATAAATTCCCTTCAGAATAGTCCCCCTTCACTTTGAACATGCTCATCCCATCCTCCTTGCTACTTCCTGCAGCAGCTCTGGAGTCCTCTTTCATGGCTATCTTTACTTGCACTGTCATGGCGGCCTCAGTGCCCTGAGTCACCTCGAAACCTTTACCTCGTGTGGTCATCGTGACTTTGGGAGGAGCTAGAAGCTGGTGAATTCGGTGCATGAGGATGCAGCGTCGTGGTTTACAAGCCTGCCTTGCCATTGGACAGCTCTCAGCAGCAGCATTCCCTGTATTTTTGGTCACACCTCATAAAGACACTCACGAAAGAGGACTAGCAGAGCTGCTTCAGAAAGTGGCAAGATAGGGGATAGGTGTGTTCGAAGTGAGGGGGAATATTGTGAAGAAGATCCATGGCAACGTACCTTTTAAATTAAATTTCTAAAATTCAGTCACCCACGGTACTTTTGATCACGCCTCCTATGTATATTTATGCACTCACAGTTAACATTCCACAAATGTTATCATTAGGCTGACTCCATACTTTTTAACACTCCCCTGAAATTCTCACATCTGAAACCTGCTAACTTCGTTTTTGTAATTGGAAAAATGGAGGCTGAGTGACTTGGCCAAGACTGAAGCAAATAAGGAGCAAGATGGAGAGGAGCTCATGTGTCCTGCCTTGCTCTGCAGTGCTGTACTCATGGGCTGGGCAGTGCAGCACATAGCCCAGGAGAGGCTCTTACTTCACTGCAAATAACTTCCCCCGTTTCACTGTGGAGGCCACTGCGGTTCAAGCAGAACAAAGTCTGTGTCCTTGACCTGGGATCAGAGAGTAAGAAATGGCCAACCAGTAGCGGTATGAGCCAGGAACTGTGATGGCCGGGTGCACTATCCTCATTTCTACCACTGGAAACCTAAGCTGTGAGGCTGCGAGTAACTTGCTTAAGGCTGTCCTCACCTGGAAGCGGCACGGTGGGGCTCAGCTGGAGATGTGTGTCTCTGTGGCCAAGCTCTCCACAGCTCCTCTGGATGGCCTGAAGACTTCCTGCACTCCTTTGATATATCCATGCGCTTTTGTGAGCCGATCGGAAATGTCTGTCTTCTCCTTTTAGATATATTTCGCCCACACAGCCCTGAAGTGGATAGAAAGGGCTAACATGGACGGGTCCCAGCGAGAAAGGCTCATCGAGGAGTCAGTGGATGTCCCCGAAGGTCTTGCTGTGGACTGGATTGGCCGTAGAGTCTACTGGACAGACAGAGGGTAGGTTTTCTCCTCCCAGTCTGAAGCCGCAGGGCACGTCAGTGGTGAATAGGCAGTGTCACTGGCTGCACTGTGGTTTGAACACAGAAGAATTACGCTGCGTACATGGCTGCTTGGCTAGGATTGGATGAGAGGAGTTCTGAGCCACCCGCACTTCCCCACTCCTCCACGCCACCAAGAGACGCATTGTTTTTGTTGAGATGGGATCCGAGTCTGAGGGACGATTCCCAGGACCAAGAAAGTAGTGTGTGCTTTTGCAGGTTAGGCTGCTGTTAGCAGAGAAGCCCCAAACCTGTCTGCACCCATCCAGTCAGCATTCATTGAGCCTTCCAAGGGGAAGGCTGTCCCCAGGTAACAGGGGAGCACAGAGGAGCTGGGGCTTGGCCGAGGAGATAAGGCAGTTTCCCTTCCAGAGAGCCGGTGCACACGCCCAGTCCAAACAGCAGTAAAGGAGCGTTACAAGGCTGTGCGTGAAAAATTGTACATGCTTTGGGGCACCTGTCCAAAGGGATCGCTGGGAGGGTCTTCAGGACTCAGCCAGCCTAGCGCCTTCGTCTTACAGGAAAGAATGTGAGGCTCAGATGAGCTTAGTGCAAGGGGCGCCCTTTGAACTAGGACCCCCAGGCTGGCCCCTGCTGAGGAGCACTGGTGGGCACAGGGCCAGGTGGCCTGCTTTCCCTTGGGCGGGAACCCACAGAGCCAGAGTGCAGTCGAGTGTTCCGGCCCTGGACACCCGGCCTGCAGGCTGGAGGAGGCTGCTGTGCAGGGCACAGAGGGGCAGGATGGGCTCCGAGATGCGGTGTCTGTGCCTGTGCTGCAGAAGGGCCCGCTTCCTTGCTCCCCAGAGCCCCTGGCAGGATAACTTGAGGGGGGCTGTGCATTTGGGAAGCCTCTCAGGGTTGCTGAAGGCGAGAAAGTTAAATGGTGACCATCAGGGACGTCGGGAGCCCCTGCAGCTGTGTTAAAGAAGGCAGAATTCGGAAACTGGATAAAGAAGTTGTGGTTTTTCTATAAAATGGAATATTACTCAGCCATAAAGAGCGAGAGAATAGATTCATTCATAGGAAAATGGATACATATTGAAGATATACTCCTAAGTGAAATAAATAAGTCCCACATGTGTAAATACCGAATAGTTTCCCTGGTGTGAATATTCTGCAACAATGCATAAGATTCTAATAAGATTACTGACATTTAGAAATGGGAGGAAAGGAGCTAAAGATGTAGGGAAGGTGTGATACGTAGGGGAAGAACAAAAAGGGAAAAGAAAAAAATGTGAGAGAATGAAAAGATGAAAATAAAGTGTTTGTAGATGGGGAGGGGAGGAGGGGGTGAAGGGAGGGCAGAGGTAAGGGGAAAAAAATGAGAATCAAGACTTGCCATGTAAAGGTACATGATCCCAACAATGAATGTAACTGTACTGTATCCCTAAATGTACCAATAAACTCAAAAAAAAAAAAAAAAAAAAAAAGAAGGCAGAATTCATAGGGTTCGCGCCCTGAAAACAACAGTGCCAATAAGGGGAGAAACCTGCAGGATTTCTGTGTTCCAGAAACTTTGTCCTGGATGCTGCGGTACAGTGTGTCCCTGTCGATGAAATAGCCCTTGTGTCCAGCTTATTTTCATTCAGTTTTTCATTTAATTATTTCTCATTCCTTTATTATTTGGGTATTTATTGAATAACTGTAATTCACCAGGTACTGCTCTAAGAGCTTCATGTTTGTACCATTGAATCCCAGAGAAGTAAGTTTTATTTTCTCTAATTTAAAGATTTAAAAACTTGAAAATCAAAGAGGTAAAATAACTTTCCCAAGGTCAAGCAGTCTGTAAGTAGTGGACCTGGGACTGAACTCAGGACTGTTTCCGGCACCTGAGCTCTCCGTATTCTCAGCGATGGGCTGGGTGCACTGCAGCTCCCTGCGCAGGGGATTAGCAGCCTGGGCCTGGGTTCAATCCCAGCGCCACACAGCATCAGGGCTGATTTAAACTGTGTTTGACCCAGAGTCTGTAAGATATTGAGGTCAACTTCAATATCTTATTGAAGTGCAATACAATTGTATTGAGGTCGTCACTATCTTGTTGAAGTACAATCTTATTACAATACAGTTGTAATAATTGTAAGTCACAGTAACGGCTTTCTCTGAGTTGATCTGTACATAAAGCCAGAGTTGTACACGGTTGTTGTGAGAACTTCAAGCATTCATTGATCAGGACGACAGCGAGGTCCCCAAGGATGCTGGGTCTTCTCAGGTTTCCCTCTGTTCACAAGGTGCCTCTTGTCTTGGCGCTGTTTGACTAAGGGCACCACAGTACCTGTGGCGGCCGTGCCTCGGGATGAGCACAAAGCACCCAGGGTCCTGGAGGGTCCGACTCAAACTCTCGCGCACCTGGACGTCAGTGGTAACAGTGTGAAAACCTTGACATCGGCTAGAAGTCGGATTTACATAACTGAGATTCCAGTCTTGTGATATTAGATTACATGGTAAGTTTTAGTCAACTAAGAAGCAACAGGAAGGTTACAGCCTGTGCTGGCCCAGGAAGAGACAGAGTTAAATGAATATCTGACACAGAGGAAGCAAGCCAGTTGAGAAGGCCCCTGACAGTGCTGTTATTTAGTGTAAAAGAATCCTGATTCCTAACATCAATTTGCGTGGTGAAAAAGAACCAAGAGGTAAAATATAAGATACCTGTCTTCCCATTCTTTGGGGGTATGACGAAAACTGCTCTCCCATGGATATTTCGTACCTGGAAGTGGGTGGGTTTTCCTCTGGCAGCTCCTTCGTGTAGCTCAGGAAGTCTTGCACCCAGCAGAGCCCTCCCCAGTGTCACAGGATGGGCCTGAGAAGGTCCCCAAGGAGGTGGGGACCTTGCCTCACCCAGGAGGTGGGCTGCAGGTTCTCTGACTTACATCACAGAAAGGATGGCAGGGCACGACTGTGAGGGGCACAGAATGCTTTGTAGGCAGAGGCGAAGAAATCTGCATGGAGAGAGTGTGGGCTGTGAGAGAGGAGCGTGGTGGTCGGGCTGGCAGCTATCGGAGGAGATCGTGGAATTGTGAGTCTGTGACAAGAGCCCATTTATAGGCCAGGGTCCACTCTGGGAGAAAGGCATACGCTTCACCTGTTTACAGCTTACCAACTTAGGAGGGGATGGTGTGGAAGGGAAAAATACTGTAAGCTGCAAATGTTTTAAAGACAGTTTTCCCGTGTCCTTCTTGCCAGTTGTTATGTTGTCTATCCTCCCTTGCTGTGACCATCAAAGTGGAAACTGGTGCTGGAGTTTATGTGGTTTCAGATTGGCCCCTGCCCTGAGTGGCCATCTCCAGAGTGGCCCTGACCCGGAGCAGGTCCCGAGCCAGGTGTCCTTTCCAGTCCCTCCTGTAAGGAGCCTTCCGGGTGTGCCCCAGCCCCTTCCTCATGGGCAGCTAGAGACTAGGTCTCCCTCACATCTCAGGCTTGGAGCTGATTACAGCCCGCTCTGTGGCCCTCCTGGCTGGGCCTGTCCCGTGCCCTCATTGCCCGTGAGGGAGTGGCGGCTGGACTTTGACAGATGCTTGCTGAATGGATGCAAGGTTGTTATGAGGTCCAGTTTGCTCTGGAGAAACAAGGTGAGTGCTGGCCTGTGGCCCTGCCTCCCGGAGCTGCTCAGAAGCCTGGTTAGCTCCTGCAGGGGCAGGGCTGCGGCCTTCTCGTGTAGCGTCTGAGTCCGTTAGCCTTCTCCATCCTGGCAGCCTGTGCTTGCTGTCAGCACTGTTGCCTCCCCCTGCCTTGCTCTCTGCCTTACAGTCACACACAGCTTTCTCAACGCAGTGACTGCTGACACCCCCGCCCCCGTTCTTTCTGGATCCTGGGACTCTGAACTTGCACGTTTCAGAGTGCTCCCTTGGGTGCTCGGTACCTCCCCACCTCGCCTGCCTGCCCCCTGTCCTGCTCGTCATTACTTCTCGGACTCCTCCTCTGACCCTGCCCAGCCGGGTACCCACTCTGCCCCGGGGTTGCACTTGCCCTTGATTCCTCATTGTTGGTGCTCACCTTCATGTGCCCGGAGACAATCGCATCCTCTCTTCTCCTGTCTGCTCCCCTCCTGCTCGCCTTCCTCTGTTCCTGTTGAGGTATGAGCTTTATAAGGACAGAGATGAGGTTTTTGTGTCCTATTGTGTCTCTAATGTTGAGGCCAATCCCTGACACCCTATAATTTCTCAGTAAATATTTGCTTGGTAATAAAGATTTGTTTGACATAGACATAGAAAAACTAGAAAGTTTGACTTATCTACCCTGTCAGATACCCAAAAGTTATTTTTAATATAAATATCTGTATATGACATTTTAGTACACTGGTCTCCCCCTAGCCACAGGGGATATTTCCAGAATCCCCAGTGGATGTGGAAAACCAAGGATAGGGCTGATTCCTAGATATAAGGAAATTTACTTTACAAAGTCGGCACAATAAGAAAGTACCAACCGTAACAAATAATGAAATAGAACAGTTATAACAACTTTCTACTTCTGCCTTTTCAAGGGGTTTGTGGCTTCTCTTTGGCTTATTGCCCCCATCCCCACTCTTGAGTTCTGAGGCATTAATATACGTAAAATTAGGGTTACTAGAACGTAAGGACTATGACAGCTACACTGAGACAGCCAGTCTTATGACCAAGACGGCTTACTACTAAGCGACTACGGGGAGGAGTATGCTGTGTGAATACCCCAGACCAAGGGGTGATTGGTGGGTGAGGCAGGACAGTGGGAACTGTAAGGAAGGCTCAAGATTTCATCACACTACAAAAAACAGTACACAGTTTAAAAGTAATGAATTGTTTACTACTAGAATTTTCCACTTAATATTTCCACATACAAAGGTAACTGATACCATGGATAAAGAGAGACTGCTATACTCTCATGTGTCTTGGAATCATATGGAAGAAAATCGGAGCCAACAAACATCTCCCTCTGCCTTGTTACTACAGACCCAGAAGCCTGACTCTTCCCAGCCCCTGGCTTCCTGGGTTTCAGCAAGAAATTGGTAATTGTGCAAAGAAATAGATGCGGTATCTATTATCCTGGCTTTGTCCATGCCCAGCCACAGACACAGTCCCCTGTTATCTTATCTTGAAACCACATACTTTAAATGCTCAGCATAAATATTCAGATGCTAATAGAGAGTGTTTTAACAGTAGAATGTGTGGGCTTGTCAGTGTGTGTGTGTGTGTGTGTGTGTGTGTGTGTGTGTGTGTGTTGGGGGTGAGAAGTTTAGAATGCTTACCTTTGCATATCAAGAACAAGGAAAAGGAATATTTTTGTCTGAAAAGTAATTGGTAAACCTCTCATTTAAATTTAAATTCATTTTAGGAAGTCTGTCATTGAAGGGAGTGATCTAAATGGAAAACATCGACAAATAATCATTAAGGAAAATATCTCTCAGCCAAGAGGAATTGCTGTTCATCCAATGGCCAAGTAGGTATCTGAGAAAATAAGGCCCTTTTCTGCAGAGGCCCTGTGACAGTTCATGTTTGAGATGCTGGTCGGTGGGACCAAAGCAAAGACAACCCAGGAGATTTGTTCAGACCTTCAAAAATGATGTGGTAGCATGCATTCCTCATTTTTTAATGCCTTTTGATCTTTTGTTCCTGTATAATAATTCTGTTGACATATCCTTTTATTTTAAACAAATTCAGTTTCTTTTTTTTTTTTAAGAAGTGGGCTGTAAACCATTAACTAATTAGACCTAAGCACATTAATCTACCTGTTTTTAAAAAATCGGCATTGTTTATTGAGCAGAAAAGAATATATGGATCGTTTGACTTAAGAACTCAATTTAGAAAAACCATTGGATGACTTCAAGTGACACGTTATCCCTAGACATAGACAAGAGGAAATCTGAACAATTAAGGTTCTGTGCTATTCATCATGAATTCATAGCACATTTTGCTTTGGGGACTGAAGAATTAAGGAGAACAAAGGACTTCTTCCTAGTTGTTAAGAAGCAAACACAAAAACCAACTCTGCTTTATTTTCAATGGAAACTTGTCTATAGGAGATAATGTATTGGTAGTAATTGATTATTGATTTTTAGCCAGCCAAGTGATAAAAACAGTGAGAACATAAATGTCTTATAACAGACCAATAAATATTCAGCCACAGTAACTTCAAAAAACATTCACTCACCTGGTTTATGGGACTTAAAATTTGCTGAGGAAATTCAATGCATTTAGGAAAGTAGCTAACAGGCAGGTGTGCTCCTCCACGCAGGTTGTGGTTTTAATGCCGGTGACAGAACAGTCCAGCAGGAGTCACTGCATTTGCAGCTAGGTTAAGACTGTTCACTTAGGCACACTTTTGATTAGTAATATGCTACATTTTAGAAAACAAATTCCTTTTTAAAATCTAATGGTCTGAGCTTTCATTCAGCGTTTCTTGTCCAACATGCCGTCTATGGAAAAGTTGACTGTTTTGCTTTTGAGAATGATTAGTCCGACACGCAGTGCTGTTTTCTCCTTTAAATTCCTCAGTGTACCACCTTGGCATATGCCGAGGTGATTTACAGCGATATTTTCCATGAGGAAGGAATGGAAGGATTTTTCTTTTTCAGGACAGTGCTATTCATTGTGTGATTTCTTGATTGAAGGAGATTGTTCTGGACCGAGGTGGGGACGAATCCACGAGTGGAAAGTGCCTCCCTGCAGGGTTCCGGCCGGTGGGTTGTGGCCAGCTCAGAGCTGGTGGAGCCCAGCGGACTCGCTGTTGACTTCCTGATGGACACTTTGTACTGGTGCGACGCCCAGCGTTCTGTGGTGGAGATGGCCAGGCTGGACGGCTCGAGGCGCCAGAGGCTGGCCCAGGATGACGTAGGTGAGGCCTTGGGGTGGGCGGCTTCATCTGGATCGAGTGTAGATGAGTGTCCCGTATGAGATGCACTGACACACGTGTGCGCACCCACACACGCACATGCACACTTGGCCACATCCAGAGAAAGGAACAGAGACAGACAGGTTTCTCCTGGGAATGGTGAGCTGCAAGGGTTGCCTTATCATTCAAATCCTGAGTAAAAAGGAGATCAGAAAGCAAATGTTAAATCCTTCGGTATTTAGGGATAAAAAGTTGGGTTTGCTGTTCTCATTTCTTGTGTTTTAGGAAATATCATTTCGCAAGAGTGATACCACTTTTAGGCATCTGTGCATACCAATGATAACGTGCAAAGATGAACAACTGGGGTTTTCAGGGGTGTGTGGGCGTGCACGCCTGTGAGTCTGCCTCTGGGAGGGGAGGGGTTGGAGGACTGACAGCACCAGCCCCGTGGGGAGCAGTCTGAGGGCTGGCTGAGCCCTGTCTGGTGACCCCACTCAGCGGAAGCCCAACCACAACAGAGCAGTTTCTGCCCTACTGTATTTTCAGATTTCGCCCCAGGGAATCATGTATTTTCATACGCATCTTGCAGAAGAGAAGTACAAGTGATCTGAAATTGTGTAAGTGGTGGGAGACTTATTTTGATTCAGGGAACCTGCAGACAGCTTTTGAAATGGACCGTGTGGCAAATGGGTGGAGATCAAAAGTGAGAAGTTGCCTTTTGAGCCAGAGTATCCAGACGTGGCAACTGGACTTTATCTGCATTTACTCAGGAGACACTGCATGTGCTCGAGCAGGCGAGCGGGTGACAAGATGGACTCTCAGGATGACACCTGGTGAGCCAGGAGGCTGCGGCAGTTGTGCAGGTGGCACTTGATGAAGGCCTGGGCTAGTGCAGTCCCTTACAGTGGGGTGTGGACAGACCCCTGTGGTGGGCACAGAAGAACTGGCAGCAGGGTGGACAGAGCAGACGGAAGCCAAGCAGGTGTCAGAGATATTTTGGGGATTTAGAAACTGACAGGGAAGATTTAAAAAAAAAAAAACACAGTCTCTTTTATTTAAGAAGAAGCTAACAAACTAGTAATCCATGTAAGCTTTTTTCCTACCCATTCTCTGTAGTTTTAGAAACTAAATTTCCAGATTTGTATGATACCCTAAATAGGGCAAGATAAATATAATTTAAATTTCCTGTATTTCTAAGGCTCTTTAAAAATTGTGCTTCATTGTAATGATAAGCTCGTGTGCAGTTGGAGACTTTGTCCTTCCATGCACTTCACTCATTATAGAAGTGGAGACACAGTGTCGAGTAAAACAAATACGATCTCTGTGAAGTCGGGGAACCTCGTGGGGGACACACACGTTATTGTAAAAAATACCGTCCAAGTCAATGTAACATTATAGCATTGACAGAGGAGGAGAGAGGAGGATTTGAAAATCCCCAAGTAGAAAGTAAAAGTGTAGTAGGTATTTTGTGAGCCATTTGAACTGCTACTGCAACTTCTTACTAAGGCAGCTTCCTGTTGAAGACCTTTGTCAAGAAATTCTGTTGAAATTGTCTGAGTTATAGCACCATCTGTTGGTGTGTGTCTATGATGGCTTCTCAACCGCAAGTTCAGGATTTTTCATGCAAAGGTTGAATGAATTTATTCTTACTGTAAAAAATGCAATTATTTGTGGCTCTTTGGTGAACAAAAAATGAGGGGTGTGGCTAGAACAGGCGTTTGCTGAAACACTACAGCTAATTCTAACACACACTTCAACAGGGGTGGACCTTGAGGATTATGCGCAGTAGAATAAGCCAGCCACGTAAAGACGCTGTAAAATTCCACATATTTGAGGTAGCCGGAGTAGTTCGGTTCACACAGAGCAGAGTGGTGTCTGCCAGGTGGGGACAAAGGGAGATGGGAGTGGCTTCACGGGTGTGAGTTTCAGCTTTGCAGGGTAAACAGCCCCAGATTGGTTGTGCAAGAATGTGCGAAGATAGTAACACTCCTGAACTGTGCCTTTGAAAGTGGTTGGGTTGGGTGATAGGTTTTGTGCTGTGGGTTTCTAGCAGAGTAAAAACATTGGTAGTTGTCTCGGTCGCTCTCCCCTTGAGGTCTAAGTACCCAGCAGCACAGTTTAAAGGGGAGAGGGTCCTTAGGCGGGAAGTTTCACATGGGGCCTGGGAGCTGAGATGCCCACGGGTGTCCCCTGAGCAGGGGGTCCCGTGTGGACCTAGCCCAGACGCCCCCTGAGCTGGGAACCCCACATGGGTCGGTCCTCAGCAGGGTGTGCGCCCTTCGAGTATGCAAGGCTTTGGAGGCATCCCAGCCTGATGGTGGCTGTGTGCGAGAACCCCTCCAAGTGTCTGGATGCCCGTGGGACACGGAGGCTGGGCGGAACCTCACTGGACGCTGTTCTGGGATCGGCCCCCACTCCGGCCCAGTCTCTCGTGCTGGCGGCCGGTAGAGCTCTATCCACCCCAGTCCGCTGGATCCCTCCAGAGGGCCTGCAGGCACTGCGGAAGCCTGGCCTCGGGTCTGGCCTGACTGCTTGGGGTCACATGAGGACCTCCCAGTGTGTTACATGTGTGAATGCCGCATAAAGCAGTTTCAGGGCCGGAGAGGTGGAGGAAGGAGCCATGAAATGGAGGCAGTGGCTAACAGATGACTTTGAAAACACTTTTAAGAAAGGAAGGAATAAGCCAGGTGCTGTGGCGCACTCTGGTAATCCCAGCTGCTTGGGATGCTGAGGCAGGAGGGCCACAAGCTCAGTGTCAGCCCGGGCGATTTAGCAGTATCCTGTCTCCAAATACAGAGAGGAGTGGGGCTTAGTTCCGAACCTCCTGGGTTTAGTGCCCACTTAGCTGGAAAAATGAGGGGAGGGAAGGAAAGAAACAAAAAGAAGTTAGAAGAATCGAGGGGATGAGGGAATTAGGATGGGAGGAACCAGACATGGTGGCACACACCTGTAATCCCAGCACTCTGGGAGGCTGAGGCAGGAGGATCACAAGTTCAAATCCAGCCTAGACAATTGAGTGAGTTAGCAAAATCCTGTCTCAAGAAAATTAAAAGGGCTGGGGATGCAGCTCAGTGCAAAGGCCCTGGGTTTATCTGTAGTGCTGCAGAGAGAGAGGGAGAGGAGGGGGGAAGAGGGGCGTCGTCTCTGGACAGCCCTGAGGTGACAGGAGAGAGGGGAGGAGGGGTTTCATGCAGGGAGCTCTGTGGGTGGAGACCAGAATCCTGAGAAAGCACTCAGTCACCTCGGGTTTTAGACACGTTTCCCAGCCCCGAGTCTGGCTGCTGTTTGTCACGTCTGTTCACAAGATGAGGAACCTAAGGCCAAGGACTGCAGTACAACTTTCTCAAGCCTACAAGTAGCAGCAGATAACCGCAGGACACAACAGTCCCACCTTGGCCTCGTCTTCAAGCCCAGCAGTCTGGGAGGCTGAGGCAGGAGGATGCATGCTTGAGCCCAGCTTGGACAACTTGAGACCTGTCACAAAGAACCATCGTACAGAGGCCCTGGACTCTGTCCTCAGGACTGAAGCAGTCAGCTCCCGTCTCGCTGCCCGGCAAGGACCTTGTAGGGCCCAGGCTCCCATGAGGATGAGGTCGCAGGCCCAGCCTCAGGCTCTTGCAGAGGCAGTGCGGGTGCTGAGCCTGTGAATTGCTTGCAGGTCGCCCATTCGCCCTGGCTGTGTTCGGGGACCACCTGTGGCTGTCGGACTGGGCAGTGCCGGCGGTAATGAGGGTGAACAAGAGGACTGGCCGAAACAGGGTACGTCTGCGAGGCAGCGTGCTGAGACCCTCCTCGCTGGTTGTGGTTCACCCACTGGCAAAACCAGGTACACCGGAGCTGCCCGTCCCCCTGGGCTGGAACCCCGGCTTCTAATCAGCAGGCAGCGGGGCGGAGGGGCCTTTGCGATTCTCGCCGGTCTGCACAGAGGACCCCTGACTGGGCCTGGCCTTGCGGTCACCTCGGCCCCAGCCCCGTCGGGTGTTGGACGCTTCATACTGCGAGCCTCGTTCTCACTTCCACTTCAGTCCTGGGTTACAGCCCCAAGGGCAGGGTTCAGGGGCTTGCGGGGGCTGCTTCTGCCCACAGGGCGGCAGCCTGGGGATGGTCAGGGCGTGGGGTCGCAGCGCCTGACGCCGGTGGGAGGCAGCGACCTGGGGACCGACCGGGTCCTCTCCTGGGAGCCGGCTGGCAGTGTCTCCCTCACCTCCAGCCGCCTGAACCACTCTTGTCCCCACCAGGTTCAGACCCCTGCTCACCTGGGGGCAGCGGCTGCGAACGGATCTGCCAGGAGAGGTTTGGCGCTGCGCATTGTTGGTGTCTCGAAGGTTTCCGGGGCGCCCCAGATGGGAAGGCCTGCCTGGTCCTGAAGTCGGCCGGTAATGCAGGAACGGCCCTCTTTCCGGTCTGGCGTCCCGCACTGTGGTTACTGAAAGCTCCCCTGCTCCACGGAATGCGGAGGGTGTGGGTGTGCCTCCTCCTCCTGAGGGCTCCTGGGCTCCTTACTACAGATTAACTTAGACAGGACTTCCGGAAGGAAAGAGTCGAAAGCGCTCAGCCCAACTTCTCCATTCATAGTGGACTTGGCCCAAGCTTGGAGATGAGTACTAGCGTTTCATCACCTCACAGAGCTATTTAGAGATGCTTTGCTTAGAAGCTTTATGTCTTCATTTTTAGGGGTAGGAATGTACACTTCCCCTCCCACGTGACAGGTCTTAATAGGAAAAGCAAGGTTATAAAAAAACTTGGAATATCAAATGCATTTGGAAATCAGCCCAAGAGGGCTTGTGATCTGCTGTTTTACAAACTGAACATGACTTCAGGGAGAAGGCGGGAAGCCGGGAGCCAGCGCGGTGTGGCTGGAAGAGCCCACACCTCCCTTCTGAGCTGCCTAGCACACATGGAGCCAGCTTTTGAAATCTTGTATACAAGTGATAGTTTCAATTTTATCAAAAGGACTTTTAAAGTTTATATTTCTCTAGTAAGCCCTAGTATAAATATTAGACGACAAACTGGCAAGAAATAAATGGATTGCTCTATCCATGGGTCAGGCTGCTTTTCTACCCTGAAAACATTATTCAGTTCCCTCCCAGAGAGTCTTTGTTTACATGGATTGTATCTGCCAAAATTTATGAATTCAAACTTAAAATGAAAACTCAAAACATGGTTCCTAAGATTATAATGATAAATCCATCGTCTGTCAGCGTAACACGTTTCTAGCAATAACTTAAGTATGTTTTCTAAAACCAGCTCTATCATGTGAAGTGCAGTGTTGTAGTACAGACGTCTGTAAGGCGGGGTTGCTGGAGGCAGCCACGGCCACCTGAGCTCAGTCTGTCGCCTGCTGTTTCAGTTGAGATCTCTGAGGCAAAGCTGGCCTTGGGGAAGGGCTGTTCACAGCCACTTGAAGTGCATCCTTGGGGGGGTTCCCTTTTCTGTCTGGGTCCCATACCACAAGTGGACAGGCAGCAGTTTACTGCACCTTCATTGCTTCATTGTGGTGTAAAATCTGCCATTGCAACAAAAAACCAAAAAAAAAGGAAAAGCTGAACTAGCCAAGTGTGTTGGCCTTGACAGGTGGTGAAGCCGATCAAAGTAGGCAGGTGACAGCACTGGACAACTTATCTGGGACCGAGGCATCGGAAGACAATGCCACAGGAGCTCAGCACACACTAGTGGCCGAAATCATGGTGTCAGGTATGGACAGTGGGCTCTCCAGTCCCTCTGGGGCGCCGCCGACTGTACCAGTGAGAAACTGGATCATCTCTTAAAGTTGGCTAAATCACACAAGCTAGTGAGACAAGTCCTTCTTCTCTCCTGAATGGTTCTCCACCTCCACTTTAGGCTGCACACGTGCTGTACCCTTGAGAGTCTGTGCTGCACCCTTGAGAGTCTGCACCGCACGCAGCATAGTGTGGAAGCGAAGGTGAAAACAAGGGCGGAACACATCGAAGAGTGTCTCCCCTGCACCTGGCACGTTGGCCGTCTAGCGTGTGGCCGCTAGTGTGCAAGGTGGATAGCAATTGACGAGCAACAGTCTTCTTCAGCTGCTATAGAAAGTGCATTTCCAGCGCAGCTTAGAATTGTCCTCTGGGGGGGTAGCATTTCCCCTCAAAGGCTCAGACAGTCTGCACAGTATGGGACAACTTTAGGGAGCCTTCTTCCGTGTTTGCCCATGTTCTGTATCCACTTTATGTTCTGTAATCACGCAGGAGGCCCGGAGTCTCCAGCTGAGCCCTAGAGCTTCTGTGATGCCCACCCTGTCTCCCACGAGGTCTCTGCCCTTCCGTCATTGCAGCTGGACTTTGAAACATTATGTTTGTCCGTCTCACCAAGTGACATTATAAGTCAGCAGGATGTTTGCAGCTGTAAAAACCCGAAACCTCCCCTTTGGGACATGTAAGGAAGAGCCTCCCTGCTGTCTGTGGCTTGCAGATGGCTTTGTAGCTGTGCTGGACTCTGGGGACCTCACACCCCATCTGACCGGGGGACTTTTGATAAGAGATAAAGAGGTGCATACTTTAGTGATAATGAGGATGATCCCTGGCTTTTGTGTGGAGCATAAGCATGTACTTTAAGTATGTTCTCTATTCCGATCCTTTTTGCAGCTCATCGTTTTACAGATGCAGAAATTAAGGCTGAGGTTCGTTAATTCATGCCTTGACCAAAGTTTTTAAAACTTATAACCAGATATTAATTCATGATAAATAAGAAGTACTGAGAAACTTCATGACTTTAGGAATATTGCTCAGTTAGCAGTTCATTGGGCATACACTGTACTGGGTGCTGGGGATACCAAGAGGGACAGGGATGAGCAAAGTACTGATCAGCATTGGCGGGGTAGGGAATCTTGGCAGTGTCCAGTGATCCCGGAGGTGCAGAGACTAACATCAAAGGATGCAGGGGCCCAGGTGAGTGACAGCGAGCGAATGAAGCTCACGGTGGTGTAGGCAGTGGTGAGGTGGCCAGGACCCTGCCCACCTGGTGGAGCAGCGCAGGACAGGAGCCTCATCCATGCCTGGGCTCAGCTCTGTTTGGCCCCCGCCTGAGAAATGTTCTGATGGCTTAGGCCACTGGATCTTGTTCATGTTTCAGAGTGAGATTTTATGTCAACAGAGTAGACTAACAGAAGTTTGAGACATCCACATTACAATTTTAGAACAAAATTAAAATTCTCACTCAGGCCTCTTTGCCTCCTTCGCCTCCACCCCTCAAATCTATAGTGCTTGGTTTTCTGCAGTGCTGCAGATGTTATGGGCCTCGCCCCAGTGCACGTGGGCTGCTCCTGGAGCCCTCAGGTCCTCGGCATGGCCTGTGTCAGATGACCTTGCTGAGAGCCCTCCCTGGACCTGGCCCTGTGTGCTGCCTGGTGCAGTCCTGTCTGCTCCCCACTTGCAGCCACAGCAGGGCCTCTTGCTGTCCTCAGCACTCTGTTTTTGGTCCTCAGGAAGGCCTGGGGCATAGCAGGACTTCTGAATGAATTTTATTTTTAGTAACAGGCTCTGGAACCTCTTCTCTTGTGAGAGGCCAGATTTTCTTCTTTTTCCTTCCTTTTTGCTTCTTTTCTTTCTAGTGTGAGGGCCCAAGCCCAGAGCCTGGTGTGTGCTATGTGCCTGCTCTCCTGAGCTACATCCCCAGCCCAGGGAAGCTGATTCTCACTTATCACTTCAACATCGTTGCTTAAATGTACACAATATTTCTAAACTCCCTGAGATCTTTCAAGTCAGTTTTTCTCTGACCCATACAGTCATCATGGGAGAGGGACCTAGCAAATCTGCCCCTGCGGTGAGAGGAGAGTGGGTGTGAGCTTTCCTCCAGGCTGGCCCATGGCAGGGAGTCTGGGCCGTCACCCACCGCTGCCTCTGCACGTCCACTGCTCTCCGTCATGCCAAGCCAACTCGGGCTTTGCAAATTACCCAGAAGGCCCAAATCACATTCTAATGCAGGGTGATTCTGCCAGGCATTTAAAATGCCCTGAGTAATTGGATGCTGTCCACGCTGTGCTCTGGGCAGCCTTGCGGTTTGGGATCCAGGCATCTAGAGCCATACTGAACCCAGTGGGGAATTTGTGGTCCTGAACCCAGCACACGAGAGTCTTGAGTGAGAGGTGGTGCGGAGCCCGCACGCAAGGCAGGCAGGCGTTTCCTCGGGGAAGGGGTCCTGCTCCCTCACCAAGCAAAGCCAGTGCAGTTCGTGCAGACCGCTTCCCCTTCTGTGATTGTGGACCATGTGCAGGGCCTTGTTCATCTCTGCGCGCACAGGCACAGGCACACCCAGAAGTAGACGGTATCCTCCTGTGTGGGGTCCTTCATCTCCAAAGAGCAGGCGGGAGGTGGCATTTGGAGAATGATTCTGTCCGTAAGGAGTTACAGGGGAAAAGGCAGAGAGCAGAGAAGAGCTTGCTGGAGTTTAAGGTTCAGCGTGTAACTCTCTGCCCTGGGACATTTGCACGTCAGTGGAGGATGAAACGTGGTGATGCATTAGCGTTGGACTGGTACTCTCGGTGACTTTGTCCAAGTGCCTGAGGTTGGCAGGCCGCTGCAGGGATCTTGGCATAAACACGCATTGTGACGTGCAGTCACCACACTGAAGCGTGTTAGTGAACGGACGGTAGATCCTCCCGTGATTGAATCCCTTTGCCGCGGTACTGACCACACCCACTTGCCACACATTAGCGTGTCACTGGGGGAGAGATCAGCTCCTTTCCTAGGTCACCGTGGTTGGGAATTGTTAAGTAGAGTAGCTGATGAATCATTTGAAGCGTGAGTTTATTTATTTGTAGCAGTTTTGTAGTTCAGACCTGAAAAAATTTAAAATTATACAAGCCTTCACACAGGGCTCTTTGAACACCAGTTACGTCTGAACTTGAGAGCTCGTGGGGCCCTTGTGATGGATCCTGGGTCTCCCGGGGACGCCTTCCCAGGACAGGCCGGGCGTGCGCTCTCCTCGCAGGGCCCTGACCTCGGCCTCTCGCTTTGTCCTCCGCAGGTCTGGACGAGTGCGCCCCGGCGGTCTGTGGCGCGCACGCCCAGTGTGTTCCGGAGGGAGACGGCGCCGCCTGCCGGTGTTTGGAGGGGTTTGCGGGGGATGGAGAACTGTGTTCTGGTAAGAGTACAGGTCCGGGCGCACATTTGAAAAACGAACCCAGAATCAGTCTTTCTGCTCTTAGCAGTGTGAAATCTCCAGAAAGATTTATGTAATCAGCAGGTATAAAGAAAGTACTTGATGTTAGCTTAATAATAATAACAGTGGCATGCATAGAAAATGTAAGGCATATATTTACATATGTCAACATATAGTTTATGTTAAAGTTGTGCAGTTAGCAGTAAAAGGAATAATTTTTAATTAGAAGAGCGACTTTGAATCAAGTAAAATTTGTGTGTTCACCAGTTTCTTTGGAAACAGAACATTTCCCCCCGAAAATTAGTGCCTACATTTTATTCAAGTGGATTTATAAGTGGATCGTTGTGGGTAGGTTTCTGTTTTATTTTGATACCCTCAAAATTATAAATAAGTGATTGGTAGGCTCAGAGTTGTGACCCTCCTCCCTCAGCTTCCTGTAGTGCTGCTATTCCAGGTGTGCCCCAACACGCCTGTCTTGGAAAGAGAGAGTCCTTAGGGTCTTGCACTCTGGCACAAGGTGACTTACTTAGCTGTTCAGACGGGTGAGAACTCTTTGAAGAAAAACACCAAATAGTTATTTAAGACTTGGATATTCCAACAGGTGGGACCTCTATACAAATTAGTCAAGAAGTGAACTTCACAACCAAGAAACGGTGTGCGGTGTATTTGCAAACAGTACCAGGCAGCAGCTGCAGATTAATATAAGATCATGCATCTTCTTTCCTGCTGCTCCTGCTTACAGCAGCGTTGCCTAAATATCTCACTGCTACTCGTTCTGCCCACAGACATGGACGAATGTGCGGCGGACAGCACTGCCTGCCCTTCCCCGTCCTCCGAGTGCATCAACACGGAGGGCGGCTACGTGTGCCGGTGCTCAGCCGGGTATGGCGGAGACGGGCTCCACTGTCTCGGTGAGAACAGCCGGAGGAGAGGGGAGGGCGGAGACGACCTGGGCGAATCGCACCGCCTGTGGGTGTGGAGGCGGGGAGCACCCTGTCTGCGCGGTGTGCAGCCTGTGGGCCGGACTCACTTCGGCCTAGGTGCAGGCTCCGGCCTGGCGCTGTCACCGCGCGCTGGCTGCGAGCTCCTGAGCCGCCACTGCCGGACAGCGTTTCCCTGTCAGTGAGCTTGGCCCCAGGATGCGGGTGCTGAGGAGAGGGCTGCGGCTCCGGGAGAGCGGCGCAGAGTGGCAGCCAGGTCTTTCCTAGCCGCCGCCTCTGTAGGCTCCAGGTGAGGGTGCCGGCTGCTCACCCGGGGGCGCTGCCCTCCCGCTGTCGCCACCAGGGGAGCGGCCCAGCCACCCTGCCTGGCACGACGCAGTGGTGTCTGAACGCGGGTAGTTACCACGTCTTCTCCGGTGTTTTCTTTTCTGCTTGTGAAAACACAAATCTCTCACAGTGGGGAAGACGTGCTGGTAAAAACCTCACCTGACAGCACCTTCTCCCCCTGAAATGTTGAGGATGAAATATCAGCCGTGGCTCTCCACAGACCTGTGTCAGATTAGCTCCTTGCAGTCCACACACGTCCGAGGCACTTTTCAAAGCACATGTTCGGCTGTCGGTCAGGAAAGTGTCACCACTCTAATTAAACAGGCTCATAGATAATTTAGACCGGCCTCCTCTTCAATTTCCTTTGAATAGAAGCTCTCCTTTCTCAAATGTTGAAACTCATCTGGCTCTGGATTCTGACTCTGACTAACCTTCCTCTTCCCAGGGTTGAACTTGCCACAGGGTGCCAGTGCCCTGTTCCTGTTTCTCTCCTTCTCCTTCAAGGTGGTGGCTCGTTGAGATCATAGCAGGAAGTCCATTTAAAAAGAGTCAGTTTGAACCATTCGGGACAGCAACTCAGAGTGACAAGAACATCATTGTTCCTAGGATGACAATGGTGCAGAACCAGCAGTAGTAGGAATACCAGGATGAGGCAGCCAGCCCTTGCTTTGTGTGAGGAGAATGTGACCAAAAAGAAGACAGTTGTGGTGAGGGGTGGAGTTCGGAACTAGAAAAGTATCACTCTGAGGTATTGCGGAAGAATGCATGGAGTAGCAGCCATTTTGGAGCACAGGAAATGAGTAAATGCTAATTAGGAGGGAACAGGAAGTGCTGGAGAGCATTCCAGGCACAGAGAAATCTGGTCTTATTGAGGTTGAAGGGAACAGCGTATGTGTAGATTCTGTGGTTTAGGCCATAATGGGTGCTGTGGACTGGATGGCTGCTACACAGACATTTGCTTCCTCATAGTACTAGAAGCTGCAAGTCCCAGATGAAGTTGCATCTGGTTTGGTTCTGGCCAAGGGTCTCCTTCCGGCTTGCACATGGCCACCTTGTTGCTGAGTTCTCACTCTGCCTCTCCTCTGTGTGTTCTTCTGCTGCTGCTTCCTCTTCTTTAAAGGCACCTGTTGTGTTGCCTTAGGGCCTCCCCCTTCTGACCTTTCTTAGCCTTAGAAACCTTAGTTAGCTCCTCCCAGACCCTAGGTTCAGACACAGGTACAGACGGTCACACTGGGACTTGTTCAGTAGTGGAGGGACATGATTCAGGCCTTGACAGAAGGCTCGGGTTACCTGGAGGAACTCTGCTCCAAGGGCCGCTCACTGGGGTTTCCCTTCTGAGCCAGGGCTGACCTGAATACTCTAGCCACATTACGAAAAGGAAGGAATAGATGCAATTAAATCTAATAATTTTCTTATTCTAATGTATTTAAAATATTGGCATTTTAATATGTGATTGGTATAAAATTACTAGCTATTTTATATTTTGTTATGAAGTCTTCACAATCTGTTGAGTATCTGAGCTTAGAGTGCACCTCAGCAAGGAGTAGACACATTTCCGGTGCTCAGCTGTCCATGCCACTGTGGCCGCCATGTTGGACAGCACAGCTGGAGGCGGCAGAGAGCCGGCAGCCAAGTGGCACAATGAGGATTCGTCGGGGTTACTGTCTCTGGGAGTCATCTGGGACTGGTGTTTACCTGCAGCTTGGAGGGGACATGGGGTACCAGAGTGTAGTGATGCTCCTCTTTTTCTCGGAAGAACGGAAAGGAAGGGAAAAGAAAAGAAGGGAGAAGGGAAGGGAAGGGAAAAGAAAAGGAGGAAGGACCTACGCGGGGTATGGTGATAGCAGTGAGAATGGAAAAGATGGGGAGTTGGAAGAGAGAGGTTGGCTTTAGATATCGTTCACATCTATGTAGAAAAGGCAAACGTTGTATTTGACATCTTTATGTCAGTGGCTGGATTCTTTCTCCGATCCGAACTGCTACATGTCTTCCTGGAGGTGGTTTGCCGGTCTCCAGTTTGGGGAGTCTCTTTTCCTTCCAGGCCTGAGGAGAATCCCTGTCTCTGTCGCCCATGTGGGCATGTGGCCGAGGCTCCAACACCTGTGACCGAGTCTCAGAAACCCACAAGGCCGAGAGTGTGTGGCACGGCGGGAGCTGAGGCGGCGCCGGACGCTGGGCCTCGTCACCTCTCTCCTCCTCATGCCCCACCTCGCTCCCCAAAGATACGAATGAGTAGACAGCTGTGGGCTGTACAGACATGGGGGTGGGGGGGCGGCCACCCCTGCCCGGGCTTTCCGGGCCTTACAGACCCTCACAGGGCTGCAGTTCCGGCAGCTGGAGCTGACTTTCCTCAGATGGAGGCTGGGCCTCAGAATGCAAAATGGCCCCGGCCTTCGTAATTTAATAGCGTCTGGCATAAATCCTTTTTAGTATAATTCAGTGCAGGGGCAGGCACTGTGCCACCCTGTGGCCAGTATCTTCATTTGTAAGGCTGATTTCTGGGGCTGCTGGAAAAACCCAGGGTTTTTGCCCAGTGAGGTCGGTTTTATGTCTGGGCTTTTAATAATAATAATATATTGCATTTTTCTAATGTTTCAAATATTAACATTTAACATGTAATCAGTGTACAATTGAGGCGTTTTGTATTCTATTCAACTATGGCGGGCGCCTGACACTTGTAGCCACCTGTGGTGTGGCGTGGGTGGGAGTCACATGTCCAGCTCTCCCGTGTGGCAGTGGCTTCCATGGTGGGCAGTGCGTGGAGGCCGCAGAGACCCACCGGCAGCCTCGCAGTCAGGTGGCCAAGGATGGGCCGACAGGATAGAAACAGAAGCCAGGATTAGGGCAGTCAGCATTCGGCATCTGCGTCAGCCGCTAGCTCTCTGCTTTCTCTCATGATGGACCCCTCTGCTTCCCGAGTCTTCCCCCCGAAGAGCAGTATCTTCTGTCCTTGGCACCCCGAAGGGGAGCTGCCTTCCACAGGGCCCTGGAGACCAGGTGGGCTCCGTCCCAGCACTGCCAGCTGCTTGCCTCTTGGCTCTGCCAGCAGGGAGCATCCGCAGAAAGGAAAGCTCTGCTGTCTTAAATGTAATTGTTTTCTCAAATAATTTGCTCTTCTTCAAGGCATTGCAAAACTGCTGTTTATATAGTTGGTCTGCACCCTGCTGTTCCCCTTACGGAGCCGTGAACCATTCCCATGTCTCATTCCTCTGCTCTTGGAGCGATTCCTCTAGAGTCGCTTCGCTCCAGTCTCTGAAGTAGTTTTTATTTTTTATTTTATTTTTTTCCTCACTGAGTTTATTGGTACATTTTAGGGATACAGCACAGTTACATTCATCACTGGGATCTTGTACCTTTGCATGACAGGTCTTGGTTCTCATTTTTTCCCCTTGTCTCTGCCCTCCCTTCAACCCCTTCTCCCCTCCCCATTTACAAAAACTTTATTTCCATTTTTTCATTTTCTCTTTTCCCTTATTCCCTTTCCCCTACCCTTCCCACTTTCCCTTCACCTTTAGTCCCTTTCTTCCTATTTCACATGGTCAATTATATCATTAGGATCTTATGTGCTATTATAGTTTCTTCACACCAAAGAAACTATTCGGTATTTACACATGTGTGACTTATTTATTTCACTTAGGAGTATATCCTCAATATGTATCCATTTTCCTATGAATCAATCTAATTTGTCATTCTTTATGGCTGAGTAATATTCCATTTTATAGAAAACTGCATCTTCTTTATCCAGTTTCCAACGGATGGGCAAATGGGCTGTTTCCAAGTTTTAGCTATTACAAACTGTGCCGCTATAAACAGGTGTGCATATATCACTGTGATATGATTCTTTTCATTCTTTTGGAAAGGCCTCAGTTCGAGGAATTTCTGAATTCTGGGCTGCTGGGAGAGCTGGCTGTGTGTTTCAGGGACTCTAAGCCACACGGAGCCACCAGCTCCTTGGTGATTCCGTCTCATTTCCCTTGGTGAGTGTGTGCTCCTGTGCTCCTGGATGACAACTTGGCTTTTGTATGCAACCAGTGACGGAATCCATCTGGCGACTCGGGCTTGGCCGTTCTCTTGTGTGCCTCGGTGTGGCTCATGTCAGATAATCGCAGCCTCTTCGTGGTGTCGTAGTCACAAAAGGACGCTGGATCCCACGTTGTTTACAGAAGCCAGTCCTGATATCGGCGCCCAAGTCACTGAGGCTTTTTATTGTTCCAGACTCTACCTCACCCCCTCCCTTTGGGGAAGATGCCAGCAATGTGGTCAGAAATGGCTACCCAGGATGTCCCCCCTCACACGACGGGTACTGCCTCCACGGCGGAGTGTGCATGTATGTGGAACCAGTCGACAGCTACGCGTGCAAGTAAGTCAGCCCTGCTCTCTGATGGCCGAGATGACGCTGTGGTCCACGGCTGTCTTGGTTACTTTTCTCATGACTGACACGTACAAGTTAAAGGAGGAAAGGCTTATTTTGGCTTCCAGTTTGTAGAGGTTTCAGTCCATAGTTGGCTGACTCCAAGGCAGGGTGGAACAGGAGAGAAGAAACAGTCCATGGCAGGGCAGGCAGGAGACAACAAGCAGCAAGTGCGAGCCTCCCTTTCCCTTTAATCCCATCTCAACTGCCAGACTTTTGGGTGGTGCCACCCACATCCAGGGAGGCTGTCGCCATTACCCACACCCAGAACGATGCTAAACCAATCAGTGGAGTGATTTAGTGCCATGCACCCTTAATCGCAATGTCACATGCCCTAGATCCAGCCAGCTTTGAAAAGTCCCACCTCTGTGCACACAAGGCTTTTGGGGGACCTTTAAATATAACCCAAAACAATGACTTTTAGCCAATTTGGTAAAAAAGAAAAAGATTTTGGAGACACAGTGATGCCATACAGCCCAGGCAAACCTCAGACTTGCTACGCAGTCCAGGCTGGCCTTGAAGTCTCCATCGTCCCACCTCAACCTCCTGATTTGCAAAATTTATATGAAGGAGATTTTCCTTAGGGAAACATTCATGCATAAATGTGTACGTGTGTGTGTGCACCTTGAACTTCACCACCTCCCCTGGGCACCAGAGAGAAATATGAATCCAAGGAACTGATGATTTTTTACTTAAATAACTTGGTATTACCTCTAGTATAGTCTGGGGATCAAATTTCTCATTCTGGATGAAAAACATTTTATGGAGAAATTCTTAAAACTTTGATTTATTTTCTGCCAAATATGCGGAGCATCCAAAAAATGTTTCTAGAGTTACAAAAGTGTGGTACATATTCACATCGGACTGATTGCCTCTGATTTTTAAAATTAAAAACCAAAAGAAACAAGAAACCAGTCGTGTTTTTTTTTTCCACTTCCGGAGAATCATTTTTCTTCAGGTACCTGTTCATAACAGTTGCTGGGGGTGTACCTGCTGTTTTCTGCTCACCTTTTCTCCTCCAGGAGGGCTTCACAGTAAGCAACATGTCACAGTGATTTCAGGAGGTTTCAGGGGAACCTGCCGGTCACTCTTACCACTCTGCGGCCCTGCTTACTTGGAGAACCTTTGCCGTGGAGCCTTCAGTAAAGCCCACACTCACAGCATCTAGTTCTGATTTTACTTTTAATTACTGCCATATTTTCAAAGCACCATGAGGAACCTGATAGATTCATCTCCCTTGATTCAACTCCTGACCCATTGATAATTTTCTCTGTCCCTAAAGAAGGGCAATAAAATATTTGGTTCCTTGTGAACAAATGCTGTATGGTTAGAGACTTTCATGATTTTTATCAACAGTGATGAACAGAAATGTCTCCATTAGTAGAGGAAGACACTGAACTCTGACCAAGGGTGGTAAAGGCCTTGCATTATAAATCACACCAACCTGACAGACATCAGGAAAAGTGGTCATGAATTTAGCAAAAATGACTCAACTCAAATAGAATTTTGCTTTCATTTTCATATTTACAGATAATATTCTAACCTAAAATAAATCTATAACTTACAATAGTTGTCCTTATAATTAGTATTCTTTAATATTAAGAATCAACTTGTTTTTATTGGTTCATTGTTTCTTATCCTGCAAATAACAAAATTACAGAAGCAAATGTCCTGGCCACATGTTACCTCATGGTTTATTTTCCTTTGAGATTTAGCTTCTCACACTCTAGTGGGTGATTTGCACAGTGGGATTAAGTGCCCAGTGGTACAGGATTTTCATCTGCAGTGTCGATCGTTAAAGATTGATGAGGTCTTTAGCACACTGCTTTTCTTTTCTGTCACTGAATCCTGATGAAAATATCCTGTTTCCCTGATAACGTTTCAGGCAGGAGTTACTACAGAAGGACGTGCTAGAGGCAGTGCTCGTGTCTGAGGGCCTTTGGCTGAAGCAGCCTGAAACTCCTGTCAGCATCCGGGCATCTGGACCGTAACTCTGTCGAGTTGTACATTTAGCACAAGTGCGCTTTAATCAGGAACTCCACCCTTCTTCTGCCCCTCCTTCTGCCCTGCTGACCTCACCCTGTGTTTTATTAACTCTGAAAAGCAGCCCCAGGCCGCCCCCAGTTGGAGGGGCAGTGAGACCTCTGGTCTCAGAGTCCTGGTCCATCCCAGCTCGGCTACAGCGGGCCCCCCTCAGACCTGCACTCCAGAGCATTTCTTCAGGTCAGGGCGATGAGGCCACATCATTCTGAGGGACGCTTGATCCATGGTGTACATTGCCCCATTGCCAATCCCTGTTTAGCCTTACTTAGACTCTAATGTGTTAAAATTATTTGGCTGTGGAAGCTCAAACTTACCTGGCTGGAGAACCAGTTAGTAACCACAGCAGCCGGGCCAAGGACATGGGACACATTCCTCAAGACCCCAAATCTCCCCGAGGTTCAGATGGGGCCTGCTAACACCAGTGGTTTCAGAGTGGCTGCTGGGCTTTGGTGCTGCTTGGCTGTGACCCAGACAGTGAGAACTGAGGCCGTGCCCCGGAAACCTGCAATAACATGGGAGAACCACTTGACTCACACTTGTCACTGCTTAGCTGTGTGGCCTTGTCCTCTCACCTGTAAATGGGGACCTGCCATCAAAAATAAAATGAGTAAGCCAGGCATGGTGGTGCATGCCTGTGATTCCAGCACTCTGGGAGGTTGAGGCAGGAGGAGCACAAGTTTGAGCCCAGCCTGGACAACTTGGTGACTTAGGGAGGCCGTGCCTCAAGATAAACAAACAAACAAACAAATAATTAATTAATTAAAAAAATAAGGCTAGGTATGTAGCTCAATGTGAAGGGCCTGAGTTCCACCCACAGTACTGAAAAAACCCCAAAATATGTATTTAAAAAACCCAGCAGTGAAATTGCCTACCTAGCATGATGTCAGACCCGCGGGGTCCTTAAGGGCTGCTTCCTCTCTTTCCCGACTCTGAAAGTGGCTTCCCAGCTCTGGAGGCAGTGAAAGTGGGCCAAGGGTTGGAATGCAGACCTCCTGGAGTTCTGTCTGGGTTTTTCCACCCAGAAGCCTTTCGGTGATGTGGGAGCATGGGTGGGTGACATTGGGTCCAGAGCCACAGAAGGGACTCATAACGGATGTGTTTCGAACTGATGCTCTCGTAAATACTGGGGTGCAGTTGTTTAGCAGGAGTCCCATTCACTCCTGGAAATGAGCATTCCCAGCAGATGGCAGCATTGTTTAAAGCACTTTGAAGGTTGAACTGTGGATGGGTCATCGCTAATTCTGGCAGCAGTCTGAAATTGGACAGTAACTCGTTTGTTACTGAGGGTCACATTTTTCTCCCATATTGTTTTTCCCCCTTGAAGAAAACAGGCAAATTCTCATGCATCGCTGTCGGCAAGTCTTCTCCAGGGCCAGTGGAGATTTAGAAAGGGGAGGGTGTCCCATCCGCGGCCCGGCTGTGCTTCCTGTTCAGCCACCTGAGTTCTCCTTTCACTGCCAGTGTGCAGCGGAGGACTCTGCCTTCGGGTTCTTCTTTGCTTCGATCTGTGCTTGTCACAGTCTGGCCCAACATTTATTCCCAGCACTCTCGCTTAGGGCTGAACTATTTGTGTTGGCTCTAAGAGGGGCTCCCAGGACTTTGGCTCAGGTGAAACTGAGCCTCGATCCGCGTGCTGCAGTGCCCTCCAGAGGTGGCGTGCAGGTGCCCTGCCCAAGCAGGCGGACAGCCAGGGTGGAAGTCCAGGCTGCGGGACACCCAGCATCGGGCCAGGATTCCTCATGACTTCTGTCTGTGTCGTCACAGCTGTGTCCTTGGCTACGTCGGGGAGCGCTGCCAGCACCGAGACCTGCGATGGTGGGAGCTGCGCCACGCCGGCCATAGGCAGCAGCGGGACATCACGGTGGTGGCCGTTTGTGTGGTGGCGCTGGTCGTGCTACTGCTGCTGGGGCTGTGGGGGGCACGCTGCTACAGGTGACCCTCCACCCATCCGTGTGTTCGGCTCTTGTCTCAGCCTGCCCCAGCCAGGGGAGGGTTTAGCTGGCTCCTTGGGCTGAACTTCATCTCTTCACTTGCTACACTGAAAGATGGAGCAACAGCTTTTCTAAAAGACCAGGATGTCCATGCTCCAGGCGTCAAAGTCTGTTCCGGCTTGGTTCCCACGCCTGCAGGGTGCGGCTGTCACAGCACAGCGATTTTCTACCCCACATTCTCTGGGCAGTCGCAGGCTCGTCCCCCAGCCTCGGAGCCACAAATTTTCACAGCTTCGGTTGAGTTCATTGTCCACAAAACATCACCTTTTGGTAAAGAAAATTGCTGCCTTCCCTAACTGGGAAGGAAGTCTGCAGTCCTTCGGTTTTGTGTCTTCAGTAATTTAACGTTAACAGTTTAAAACTCTGGGTCAGTAACACACGCGTGATTTTTAAGAACTAACGCTCTGCCTACGGGCACTGCAGCACTCACCTTCCGTTTCCTTAAAGGGTAGGACGATCAGTGCCCCATCAGTACTGCAAAACATTCTGTGTGCTGTCATGGCCCATGCTGTACTGCATCTGAGAGTCACAGAATTCAGGGGCTGAAGGTGACTTTCTGGACTTGGCTCAAAGCATCATTTTATGGCTGAGAACCTGAGACGCCCTCCCTCATAGGTCCAGGTTCTCTGGCATTATGTGGTGCACCCTCTGCCACCTGTAGATAAAACTCAGCCTCACTCACCCACACTGCAGAGGCCCTCCCGGACCAGCAGTCTCATGTTCTAGAAGATTCCATATGTCAGGCAAGCTGCTCTTGCCCAAGGGCCTGACGCATCCTAGTGCAGTGGTTGAGAGCAGGAGCTCTAGAATCTGATTGTACATTTTCAGCTCATGGTGTGATTAAAAAATACGGTGACTGTTTAAAGTTTAAAAACGTATTACACTGGACAACATATTACCATGGATGCCCCTCAAAATACTCCTCTCTGTCCCTGGTTCAAACACACTTATCCCATAGTTCTTGCCACTTTTCTGCAGCAGTTCTGGGAGTTCTCTTTCCTGAGTGTCTTTATTGTGCTGTGGTAGCTGCCTCAGTGTACTGAATTGATTCAAAATGTTGACCTTTTGTGGTCATTTTGACTTTGGGAAGAGCCAGAAGTCCCACAGTGCCAGAACTGGTGACTGAGGTGGGTGAGGACACAGCATCGTGTTTTTACAAGCCTGCCTGTCCCTTGGCTGGCATTCACTCTTCAACAATTCATAATTCAACAATTTGGGGATGTGAGGGTGATCTGGCTGCGACATCTGTCGCCCCACTGATCGCCAGGGTTGTTCTGGCTGACCTGGCTGGCTCGGCGGTGTCCCCTTCCTCCCTTGCCGCTCCATGTGCGTCCCTCCTGAAGCTGTGCACTCGGCAAAGAGTGTGACCACCCCCATAGAGGAGGACCGCCTCATTCGGGGGGTACGAGGAGCTGTGCGCCTCTGCTGGAACCGCCAAACAAGCTCCCGTGACTCAGCAGTTTTGATTGCACCTCGTAAAGACACTCACGAAAGAGCACTGCCGGAGCTGCTTTAAAAAGTGGCAGGAACAGTGGGATGCGTGTGTTTGAGGGGAGTGGGACGACTGTCAGGGCTCGTGGCAGTGTCTTTTTCAGTTCAACATTCACCACATTTGTGTCTAACTGCATGTGTACTGTGCTCCTGATGGGTTTATGCTAAGATAGTCGTCCCCGACCATCCGTGGGTGAGCTGAGTGCTTTGTTTTATTCTGAGATGGTCTCAGATCTCGGCTTTAATCTCAGGATGAAGAAGCTGGCACTGAAAAACGCGAAGAATCCATATGAGGAGTCGCACGGAGACGTGAGCAGTACGCGACCAGCCAACGGCGAGGCTGGGGTGTCTGCCGGCCCCCAACCTTGGGTAATGTGACCGAAGTACAGGGAGCTAGGAACGGGCTTGACATGAATCCTGGTTCTTTTTTTGGTCATTCTTCACAGAGTCCAGAGTGACTGGAATTGGTCACAGCTCCCAGCCGGGGTACTGACTCTGTTAGCCACAGCACACGAGCAGGAGGTCCTGGGTGGCACATGGGGGAGCTGTGTCCTCCATTAGGGAGTCTGTTGGGTTAAAATGGCACCACAGTTAGTGGCGCCGAAATGTAGGCAGCTATTTTCCATCATGCACCTGTGTCCTGTAACTCAGGTGTTTTTAAATGTGTTGTATGATGTTTTTCCCTATTTTTAAATGATTCTTTTCAGATGGGTATCTTAAAAACTCCAAATTATGCTTCTGGTTTTCTTACTTTTTCTTTTCCCACACATAGTTTATGTCCATAAACTTTAGTAACAACATGGCTGCCAGATTTTTTTTTTCTTTTTTGATACCGGGGATCGAACTCAGGACCTTGTGCTTGTGAGGTGGGTGTGGTGCCACTGAGCTAAATCCCTGGCATATGGTTGCCAGATTTAACAAAAATACAGAAAGTTTAATTCATCTTATAATTGAAGCCCAGGTTTTAACCCAGAGTCAGATTGACTGGCTATCCTGTGTATGATCCACCAGACCTAAGTGCTTTCCAGTGGGCATAGTAGGACTGAAATTCAAGATTCTTCATGGGTCACCCAGGGCAGTGACCAGTGTGCCAAGCACTAGAGTGCAGCCGGGGACAGCATGGGCTCTCTGGACGCTGTTAGTGCTCTTGGCTGGTCCATGTGTGCTGTTGGCGTCACTCACGGTGGATGGCATGGGTGGCAGGCCCTGTGAGGACTGAAGCCTTGGGAAGTGCTGTTAGGAAAAGGTCTCGGCGGCCAGGGCAGTGTGTGAAACTCCACGCACTGTTTCCAGCTCCTCCTCACCTCCCTTCCCAGACTGGCTCTCCTGAGTGCAGGTGTTCACCTGTCCTGACAGGTGAGTGCCGCAGGCATTCAGGTGTGAGCATGTGGATGGACATGAAGTAGAAACGTGAGTCCCAGCCACACCTCTCAGTTCTGCGTGGCCTCAGCATCCTCTTGGTACAAGGGCGCAGCATGGAAAGGCTCTAAGCACCGTTAGCCTGTGCATTCTCCAAGTGTGCGACTCTGGGAGGACCGAGCTACCCAGTGTGCTCAGGTCTCTGAAGCCTCGTGGCTAGATTTTAAATCCCCACGTTGCACTTGACAGCCTGCGAGGTATTTCACGTGGGTTTTGGATTCCAAGTTTAACCCATCTCCTTTAAATAATGGGGAGGAAGGAAACACAATCTGTGTGTCATTAAAAAACACCAAAGGCACTGGCCGCTGTCTTGAGCAGCCTGCTGGCCAGCAGCTGTGTCAGGAAGCCCGGCTGCTGGGCCGCGTCCACCCGGCCATGGTAACTGTCCCCTCGCCAGCTGCTGCTGCAGATCCTGGGGCAGTGGGGGAGGGCTGACCACCCAGACTGGGAGAAAAGCAGCAGAAACAACTCTGGTTCCATCAGCTGCCCAGAGCTCTGCAGCCCATGTGTTTCGGGCAGAGCAGAGTTCATTTGAGCTGGAAAGGATGGGCCTGCGCCCCCGGCCAGCAGGACCTGTACTGACTGCAATGTGTGTACGCAGGGAGGCTGTCAGTGAGGAGAGACTGGTGACTGGTGACTGGGAGAGGAGAAGACGAGCACGCGTGTTCCCGAGAGTCGCCTTCCCACTCCCACGCAGCTGTCCCTCTGCCTAGTTATCCCCGCATGCATCTCCCCTTCCTGTGCCTGTCTCAGTGGGAAGCGTGGGCAGAGAGGCTTTTTCCTTCCTAACTGCTTTTCCACACATTGTTACCGAGCACTGGGCCCTGTTGGGAGCCAGTGGAGCGCGGTCTCTCCTGGCTGGGGGCAGCCCTGCTTGGGTTACTGATCGACCAGGGAGGGCTCCGTCCTGGAACACGCGGCACCTCTGTTCTTGCCTTTTATTGCTGGCCTGTTTTAATACCTAACCTGGCCTGAGGTGGGCCAGCGACTGCCCAGCCTGCACCACGAGCGCCATGGCAGCCTTGGACAGCGGTGCAAACCGTGACCAAGGCAATCATTTTGTTGACTGAAGAGAGGTGTTTTCTGGGCCTCCCTTGTAGAATTTTGGTTCTGATGCTGTTTATCCACAAGAAAATATTTCATGGGCCCTATCGAATAGTACTCACACCATCAGTTATTAGTATTTACTTTTGACCTCACATTACTCAGAAGTTGATAGTACATTTAAATGAACTATACATACACTCTGTGTGTGTGTGTGTGTGTGTGTGTGTGTGTGTGTGTAAAGTTGCAGCAGATACATATGCTGCTACAGCCAGGCCAACGGGCAGTGCTCAGAATATTCAGTGGGTTCTTGCACAGCTTATAGCAAAATGGCAGCACCCAGGGCTCTATGGCCCCAGGGTTAGGAGTCTAGAATTAGAATAGATTCTGCAGTAAAAAATATTGGTAATAGCCAGGACTGGTGATCCATGCTTGTAAGCCCAGCACTCTGGGAGGCAGGAGGATAGCACGTTCAAGCCCAGCCTGGGCAACTTAGCATCTTGGTGACACCCATCGCAAAGTGAAAAATGCAGAAGGGGTTTGGGTATGTGGCTCACTGCAAAGTCCCTGAGTTCGACCCCCAGTACTTCCCCCCACATTTCCTAACTGCTTTAGTAGAAAGTAACTTAAGATTTCTAATTGAAAATGGAATCTTTCATTAGGCTTTTTCCCAACTTTCATCATCTGTGGGATGAACACAGACCATGGTTAATGCTTACTGAAATGACTTGTGAATTATAACAATACCTCCTCTCCCTTCTCTTTTCTGCAGTTTGTGGTCCTAAAGGAAGAGCAAAACTTCAGGACTGTGAGTCACTCTACACCTGGCAAGAGTGGTCAGATGGCAGATGTTGGCCAGTTTTCTTGTCTGGAGCTTGGTAAGTGGTTATTTTTATCTGGATCCTGAGTGTTTTCCAGTGAGAAATTTCATCTCACCACAAAAACAAAACTGTATAAGCTTGTGGGCAGCTGGGCTGTACTGAAATGCCACAGAGCATTGGAGAGACAGATTTGAGCTGCATTTCTATATATATAAGGACCCCATGTGTAAAGTCATTTTCCTGATGCTGGGACAAAATACAGGACACCCACAACTTAGACGAAGGGAGGTGTATTTTGGCTCATGGTTTCAGAGAATTTAGTCCATGGTGGGCCGATACCAAGGCAAAAATGGCAGAGTGGAAGAAAGCTGTTCACCCCACAGCAGCCAGAAAGCAGAGTTGAAAGAAGGGAGGAGCCCAGGGACAAGAATGCACCCTTCCAGGTCATGGCCCCACGACGACCCACCTCCTCCCACTGGGCCTCAACCCTAACTACACAGCTCCAACCTCATCAGTGGACTAACCCAGCAAAGTCTTGTATGGAATCCCATGATCTCACCACCTTCCAAAAACCCTACAGACTTCGGGGGACATTTCTGATCTAAATCCTAACACCATGTTCACTCAGAACTTTAGTAATACAGCAAGCAGTCTGCTAGATCATTTTGAGCAAGTACACACTGGCAACTTCTTTTTGATTAGGAGGAGTAAGTCTTTCTTGGGGCTGGGATTTACATAGATACAGTTCTGTACATGGAGTTTATAAGTGGCTCTGAGAAAGCGTGTCCCTGTTCTAGTGGGAAGTGTTCCTGTGGATATAGGTTGATCTGGGGGTTGTCCTGGGGATTTCAGAGTTTCATGCCTTACAGGGGCTGGGCCTCAGCCAGATCCCAGGCTGTCTGTGAAGTCCAGCCAGGCCACCACCACCAAAGAAACATAAAATCAACCCAGGTTCTCGGGCTGCTTGGGAACTCAGTCTTTCTCAGGTAGAAATAGAGTTAAATATCCTTTGATAGAAGACTTTCCAGGAGTTGTATTACAGTAAATCTCTTGGGCTTGGGCCTCTGGCATGACTGTTCTTTTTTACAGCCTGGAGGGGGTTTTGGAACAAGCTTTGTGTCATAATCCTTTGGAAAGGCGTAGAGAATCTGTAAGCCAATAAAAACAGTTCCTCTGCTAACAAAAGAAACCATTAAAATAACAGCTTATCTCTTGCCTGAATAAATAAATAATTTAGTATTTTTCAGAAGTTGCTCGGGTTTTTGGTATTACTGGTGGCACTACTAGAAAGTCACAAGATACCTTATAGTTACTTTTCCTTGAGCAGCTAAAAGCATATTCTTTTTTCTTAATAAAGGTACTTTTAATAGAGATACGTATAACTTCCAGCCCATCAATAGAACAGTGATTTGACGGGAACGTGTTTACACTCAGAAAAAAACTAGGACTTATTATTGTTAGCCTGCCTCTCCGGGATAGATTAAAATGTCCACTTTTTTGAGACAAGGTCTTACTATGTGGTCCAGGCTGCCCTTGAACTTGGGCTCCTCCTCCCTCAGTCCCCCGAGGGCTGGGACTCCTGGAGTGTACCACTGTGCCCGGCTTGAATGTCTGCTTTTTTGTTCACTCTATTATAATTTGATCCATTTTCTGGGGGCCACTCCGTTGAGTCCCTGTAACCAGTGGTACTTCTCGGATCACATCTGGCTGTCTTCTAAATGCTGTGAACTCCAAAACATTGGTCCAGGAGGTAGAGCGAAAAGGAGGCTGAGGTCAGCCTCAGCTCTGAGCCCGTCCCTTCTCTGCTCCTGGAAAACCTTGGAAACAGTTGTAGCAGAAGATCCACAAAGCCATCTCTGTCGACCTTTGCCCATGTCAGCTGGCACGAAGGGCAGAGGACCATGCTGGGAGAAAGGAGTACCAGTGCGTTTAAAGCCAGAGCTGCTCCCAGATCGTCTGTGATCCAGGTGGGGACATCAGAAGTGCACAGAGCACTCCAGAGCAAGGTCGGGTCACAGAGTTCTTGGAATCATCTCAGCCAACCAAGACTATCTCAGTTTTTAAAAACTCGGTTCAGAATAGCTTAGGAAACAGTTCCTTTTGTGTCTCTTCTTTTAGGCTTGTGCTGTGGACACCATCATCAGTCTCTTTGCGGGACTTAGTGATGAGTGTGACTACTGGAAATTCTGTTTCTGTAGGGTCAGCTCAGTTGACTTGGTGCAGACAGGAGCCTCACATATATGAAATGGGCACGGAGCAAGGCTGCTGGGTCCCACTGTCCAGCAGTAAGGGACCTGGTCCCCAGGTCACGGAGCGAAGCTTTCCTCTCCCCTCCTATGTGGCAAAGCCGCTCGCTGTGGGGGTTCAGGAGCCCGGACCTCTCCAGTCAGCTGACCCATGATGCCAGCCAAGAGCCCAGCTCCACCTCACCAGCTCTGTGACACCTGGAATTAGAAGGAAGGCCAAGAACAAGCTGCAGTGGACAGTGTCTTTTCTCTCAAAACTAGAAGAATGCTGCAGATTCTGGATCTGCAGTCTCTAAGGGTGATCACCCATGCAGTGGCCGGAGAGGGACACATAGCTGTGCTTCATTTCTTCTTTCGAGCACCCCCACTGCAGAACCTCCAATGAGCGCAGAGGCAGCACGAGGCGGCTGTGCTCTGCACGCTGCTTGTTGTACAGGGAGATTTGGGCTTTTTTGGGTTTTTTTTGCTGCAGCCTCAGAAGAATCTGGGGTTAAAGCAAGCATTCACACTGGTTTGGCCAATGATAGAGTAATTTCTTCCATCTGAATCAAGAGAACTTTTAGCTCAGTCTCAAAAACTGGTTGGAATATTACAGTTGTTGCTGAAACACCTTGTAGCCATTTGATTTTTCACTGCGGTCATTCATGCTCATAATTTTTTGAAAGAGTTGTGATAAATTGATAAACAGTATGGTAACCTAGAGCCCGATTTCTTCAAAATTAGATTACTTTTTTGTGTATTTTAAAATCCTCAAATGAAAACATTTAATTTTAAAAATATTTCCCTAAACCTCGTATTTCTTAGTCATTATTGCCCCTTCTCTCTCAGCATTCACAGGGAATGTGGTAAATTCTCCTTTGTGTGTTTGCACAGAAGTTTCACGTATGTTTAAATATGAGATTGTAAATAAATCGCCTGATTTATTTTCCTTATGGATAACAATGTTTCACCTAATTATTTAAATAAAGTCAGTATAAATGCCAACATTTTATTGCACACTTGGACAGTCCAAGGGGGTGTTAGAGCTAAACCAACATGACTTGCCACGCTTGTCCTGCGTGTTAGTTACTTTCCTCTCCTTGCTGAGACAGAATGCCCAACACCAAAAGTTGGCATGGAGGGTGTTTATGTGGCTCACAGTTCACAGAGGCTCAGTCCATAGAAAGCTGGCTGCAAGGAGGGGATGGCAAACAGGCCTGGCAGAGAAGGATCGACACGGCCTGCACAAGGCAGCAGAGGTAACAAGCATTCCCAGCATCTTTCTGCCCCTTTTATCTCATCGAGACTACCCGGATGAGGGCGGGGCCAAGCCGATCACTCATGGGTAGTGGTTTAATAACCACAGGCCCTGAACCCCAGCATCACACATTCCAGATTCAGCCTCCTCTGAGAAAGAGTCCCACCTCCTCTGCACGAGGCTTTGGCAACATCTAGACACAAACCATAACATACTGTTACTTTTTTAAAAAAATTGAAAAGTATAACTTTGTAAAAGGAAATTTCACATAATATTCTAAGTAAATATTTTCCTTGCAGCCAGAATATTGTTACTACAGATAACCAACCCACCTGATACAGAGTTTGAGTCATTTGGGGCTTGGGGTGGTTCGGTTTAGGTATGAACTAGACCCTTTGCTTATCCTTCTCTTTCATTTCTCCTCAACTCCTGGGGCTTTGGTTATACTAGAAATCCAAGTGGAAAAGAACTGAAGCACAGGTTTTCAAGTGGGTACATGATAGAAATTTTGGTAAAGGTGTGGTGATAGCTTAGATGACTTTAGGTTTGTGGTTATTAGGTAATTAATTCATTCCATGGGACACCTTTCTTTCAGCTAATTTTGATTGTTTTGGTAGTTTTATTTTAATTTGCAGTTGATATCCAGAAGATCAGAAGACCCATCTTTTTTTTCTGATGAGTGAACCGACCTCAGAAAAAACAGTAGTGATATTTTCCCCTAATTTCTCTTTCCTTGAGTGTGAAATTCTCTTTCCTCCAAGAGTGAGCATTTTTCAAGCCTTAAGGGTTTGTGTTACATTTTGGTATTTCAGTGTCTCTTTTAGGTTTTTAGTGATAACCAAATAAATGAAACCACAGTAACAAAACATATTGTTATCTTTGAAGCTGAGAAGCCATTTCCTTTGAGCTTTTTAGTGACCAATACCCTAGACTGAGGCCATTTTAAGTCCTCGGCCAGACTTCCTTGACAGCTCTCTGGGCAGATTAGAGACAAAACTCACTTTGTGTTCTTTACTCAATACATCACCTGAAGAGATGTCTTCCTTCTTTGCATCTTCAAATCTCCATCAGAGATGTTCTCCTTTATTTAAATATTTAAATTTATGGGCCGAGTGTGGTGGCACATGCCTGTAATCCCAGCACTTGGCAGGGTGAGGTAGGAGGGATTGCTGTGAGTTTGAGACTAGCCTGGTCTACATGTGAGTTCCAGGTCAGTCTCAACTATGTAGTGAGACCCTTTCTCAAAAAAACAAAACAAAACAAACAAACAAAAAAAACCAATCTAAGTTTTAAAAGAGCATTTTCATATAAGATGTCTTATTTACATTTTTCCAGACTAAATATTTTATTTCCTAACTCTCATTGTCTTATTATATACAATGCTTGATTGAATTCTGCTTGAATAAATGCCACTTACTCCGTATGAAATGAGCTTTTGGCCCTCTCTTGGACACATCAGGAATCTTACTAAACTGAATTATTTTAATCCACATGGTTTCAGTTCTACCTATTAGCTTTGATTTCTGACTAATTCCCTTTTCATGTGAATAAATTATTATTGTATGGTAGTTGATAGTGGTGCCACATAATAAATCCTTAAACATATGCCATCCGAAGAAAATAAGCAAACTGGGTGAAAACTATTCACTCTAAGTAGCTGTGACAGGCACAGTTCTGTGTTTTCCTGTGCTTCTTTTACTTTGTTCTTCTGGTGAAGTCCTGAGGTGAGAGACCCTTCTCTGCATTTTTTCAGCATGAGCTCTTCAGTCCCAGGCAGCTGGAAGCAGGGCTCTGTCCTGGGAACTCAGCAGGATTTCCGTAACTACCAGCCAGGGAAACACCACACGGTACATTGTACTATGCCAAGTAGGTAGACTGTGATTGTTTTTCCGGAAGTTCATCCTGTAGATATTTAAAATATTTAAGGGTAAAAATAAAGAAATTACACTCTCATTATTTTCAGATGCTATGGGTGCCTACTGAAAATGCAAAATAGTTATAAATTATAAGAAGTAACACAAAATAATTATATCAGTAATACTGACTAGAAAATGTAGTGGAAATGTATCAGTTATAATAGTAATATAAATGTGAAGTAACCAGGAATAAACGTATCATGTGTCCAAGTCCATTACAGAAAAAATTTAAAACGAAAAGACATTTTAGGTCACCTAAAAGAAGATATACCATGTTCATGAATAGGAAATCTCAATACTATAACGTCGTCAATTTTTCCCAGAGATACAAATTTAATATTTTAATAAAGATCCTACTTTTTAATTTTAAAACTTGGCAGAAAAAATGTGTTGTATAAGTCTACATTTATCAGAAAATCTCTGCTAACAATAATTAGAAATATTTGATAAATACAAACAAAATCTGCTTGAAGAGATCAGATAGCTACGAAGGCACTGACGACTTGAGGGGCTAAGTTCTCGGTGAGAAAGAATTGAGACTGCAGAGGTGAATCTGTATCACTTTTCTCCTTAAGCATTTGCTAATCTGTAAACAACAGGTGAAAAGGACGCGCAGAGAATTGCACTAATAGGGAAGAGAAGCTGTATAAAGCTTTTGACATCCTGCATGGCCAGGAGACAACATTTAGAATTTATTTCCTGCAGAAGACGAGTAACCTTGCAAATTTAGCCAAGCTTTCACATAAGATCTTTGAAGAGCTACACCCTAAGCAAGCTGTATGGAGATGGTCTTGTCCTCACAATGAGACATAGATGCAATTAACACATTCCAAAATAGGATTAAGTTGATCTGGCTCTAATTTAATTTTGCTGCCAGCAAAAGTGAATCCCTTCTGGAGGAATATAATATCATTCAGAATCTCTGATTATTTCTCCAAAGCTTATTTTGTTTTGTTTTGTTTGCTTTAAGAGACAGAGTCTTTCTGGGTAGTTCAGGCTGGTCTTGAACTCACTGTGTGGTCCAGGCTGGCCTCAAACTTGAGGAAAACCTCCTGCCTCAGCCTCCCAAGTGCTGGGATTATAGGCATGCACCACCACACCTGGCTTTCTCCAAAGTTTTACACACAACATCTGGCATTCCATTAAAAATTACCAGGCAATGCAGGGGAAGAAAACAATTAGCCAAAAGAATAAGAGAAATAAATTTAAAGCAGGTCAGAAAAGCAGGCCTGTTGGAGAGCCATTTACCCAATTTATGAGACATAGGTTTCTAAATAATTTAGATGTGCATATTGAGGAATACACACTAAAGAGTGAGAAAAATAATTTTAGAGCCAGGCATGGTGGCACACACCTATAATCCCAGCACTCGGGGGGCTAAGGCAGGACAGTCGCTGTGAGTTTGAGACCAGCCTGGGCTACATAGTGAGTTCCAGGTCAATCTCAACTATATAGTAAGACCGTGTCTCAAAAAACAAACAAACAAACAAACAAAAGAAACAACAACAACAAAAGAATTTCAGCACTCTCTCTTGAGCAACTTAGTGATTTATTGAGACTCTATCTCAAAAATAAAAAGGGCTAGGGTGTGTAGCTTAGTGCAAAGGCCTTGGGTTTACTCACTAGTAGCACACATTTTAAAATTTAAGACTTTAAAAATAACTGCAAAATACAATAATTAAAACTAAGAATTTAGATAATTGGCAACATCACACTAAACACTGCTGAAGAAAAAATTACTAGAAAATAGATCATTAGAAAACATCTATATTGAGGCATAAAGACAAAATGGATTGGAAATACAGAAAAAACATCATTATGTGACAAATCTAATATATATTTTAATTGCTTCTAACGTGTTTTTAATTCTAAAAGGAAAAACAAAAGAATGGGGGTAAAGGCAGTATTTGAAGAGATAATGTGTAAGAATACTAAAAATAAAAATTGACAAGTTTTAAGAACTGCTTTAAAACCAAACAATAAATATGGGTAAAAGAAGAAAAATACTAAGGCAGTTAGAAATAAGCAATATTACTTTCAAATGTACAACAATAAGAAATTACTGATTGATTGATATGAATCTAGAGAAAACTAGAAATAATATGTTTAAGATATTGAAAGAACAAGAATTCTACATTTAACAAAAATATTCAAAAGTGAAAGTGAAACAAAGACACTAATAATAAAAACCTAAAAACAGTGAAGCATCTGCACAAATACAGATACTGAATGGAATTTTTCTGCAGGTACAAGTAAAAATGATCCTGACCAGAATCATTAAAGTATAGCAAAAGATGAAAAACAACTGAAAGAGCCAATATGTAGGCAAATACAAGTGAATATGAACAACTGAAAGTTACTTGTGAAGAATTAAATAGGAGGACTTGATTTATCTGATTTCAGAAATTATTATAAAGCAATAGTAACTACAAAGTGTGGCATTATTGCAGGACAGACAGATGAATAAAATTTAAAAGACCCATATGGAGAATCTCGAAAGGGGATTGAGGAATATAATTCCATGGAACAAGTGC